TATAAAAATAAGTTGGATGTGTATGCTGAAGATGACAAGTTTTCCGTTTATTTCTCCTAACTCAAACCTAGACTATACATGAGATCAAATACGAAACCTGATCACATTTCAATAATCAAAATACTTTTTTAAACCAGTGAATCTTTATAAATCACTAAAACAAAATACAGAAATTTAGATTAATTCTCTATTCATTTTACATGCAAAACAACATCAATTAAATCTAAACTTCACCTTTTTTCACAAGAAAGTATCTATTAGGACTCAGTAGCCAAGTTAAAAAACAAAACAAACTCGATGGTGTTTAAAGTGAACAATACCGGGTTCAATTCTTGGAATGAATGTAGATACATTCAACTGACAAGTCCCAAAGATAACAAAGTGGCGCTTATCGTACATTACACTACTAACCACTATCCATCTTTACTTAAAATGTTTATGACTTAAGACAATAATAAGGTAATCCTCATAGAATGTACATTATATATATATCAACAAGAGATTGATAAACAATTACATTCTTAAACAACAACAAAGAAGATACAAGTAAAGAAAAAAAAAAAGAAATCAATACCAAATGAATTTTACACATTTTTTTTTATTATTTAAATCTTGTCATACGAAAAAAATCAATCAAGTTCTTATGAACAAACATTTATTATTTATTTATTTATTTTAACACATAAGTATAGGTACAGGGAGGCACCAAGTACATATGCGCCACACAAATCTCAATTGATTTGTGTGAGGGCTGTGATATTGTCCGGGTGCCAAAACCGAACCACGTGGTTTAATTAGGGGGCCACACCCCGAGCCTTTGACCTGAACGTCTAACCCACAAGGCAGTGGAGCATCGTAAGGAGATGCAGTCCAATGGTAGCCAGCCGGTGACCAACGATTGGTTCATACGCCATTTGTTCTCGAAGGATACTGGAGCAAGTCCATGTGCACCATTGGTTTGGGATCCGGTTAAAGCGCCAGACATTCGCTTTTCGTCCTCTCACTTTTGTAAACAACACCCCCGCCACGAGAAGGCAGTGAGTAGGACTTCCCTGACAGAGGCTATATACGCATGGCCATGTGAGAGCATTTCGAGAGGGAGAGCGGACTCACCCCAATCTCGGCTGTACCAGGGCATTTGGCAGCTTATGAACAAACATAAAGAATTAAAAGTAAACCAAGAGAAGAAAAAAAAACAAGAAGAAAATAACCAATAAACCATTAAAATTTATAAAAAGAAAAAAGAAAAACAAAAAGAAAAGAAAAATCAATTTTTTGTTTCCTTAAAAAAAAAATTGTGCAACCGGGAAAATTTATTAATTTCAATAATGTAATAAGAAGACGAAGATTATCAGAACGATTTGATATATTAGTGCAATACATTTCGAACAATGTGATCACACATATACTTGTTAAGAGCATTTATACATAAAAATAAAAGGTCAACTAGACTGAAAATGGGGTAAGAGGAGATAAAGATAATAATAAGAGTAATGATAATAATCTGAACACAATTCAAAACCTAATCAATCTGGATAATAAGTCCATATTACCAGGGTAGGTTTAAGGTAAGAACAAACTGTTTTTTTGGAATACACAAAGGGGAATTTGAATTTTCGTATGGTTAAGGCTTCAATAAACCTTAGTATACGCGCTTTTACACTTTTATACAATACCACAAAAGCCGAGTTTAAATCAATCTTATGCCCTGTTTCAATTATATGTTTAGCAATAGAGGATGATGGCTGTTTATCCTTGGCTCTTAGTGGGTCATTTGATTGTATTTGTTTCTGCAGCCATTTGAATATATGTTCACTCACCCTAATGTTAAGATTACGATTGCTCCTCCCTATGTATGTGTGACCACACACACATTTAAATTGGTAAACACAGTGGGATGTGACACAATCGCTTTCATGTCTTTGAGGTTTTAAATGAAACATGCAACTTGTTCTTTCTTTGACAATGACCTTTGCTGCGCAGTACGTTTTGCTGATGACTGATTTAAGTCTTTGTTTCAATAAGAGACTATTTGAATCACCTCTGAATGGTAAGGTGATGTAGACAGGCTTTTTTTCCACCGAGGCTACAGTAGGTCTCACTGTACCGTGGACTTTCCATCTATTTATGAATTTCAGGGGGTAACCCTTTTCTATTAATGTTTTGTTTAACAACTTAACATCATCATCAATGGCATCATTTGTACAAATGCGATCAAGCCTGTTGAAAAGACACCTTATCAAAACACGTTTGTATTGCACGGGGCAATAACTATAATAACTAAGGTATTGACCTGTCCACGTTGGTTTTCTAAAAATGGATCGCTTGATTGAGCCATCTTCTCATCTACTCAGAAGTATATCTAGGAAAGGGAGCTGATCGTTTTTCTCCTCTTCACATGAGAGATTGATATGGTTTTGAAGAGTGTTGAATTTATTTAATAAACGGTACATCTCCTCTTTACTTTCACAAATAACTAGGATATCATCCACATATCTCTTATAAAGTGACATGTTTTCAATTATGTCATCAGCCTGATTTTCAACATTTGCCATGAACACGTCTGCTAATAATGGTCCTAGCGGACTACCCATAGCAACCCCATCAATCTGACGAAAGTATTCACCTTCAAAAGTGAACTGAACTTTGTCAGTACATAATAACAGTAAATCTTTAAGAAATTTTACAGGAACACGTGATTGAAGTTTGTTTACAGATATGTAATCACATAATATATCAATATAGTTTCTTTTTCAAAGGTACATTTGTAAACAAGAAATTCACATCAAACCATGAACACATTGTCTTTTCCTTGATATTAATATCACCTAAATGATCGACCAGTTCAAAAGAGTCCTTTAGAGAATACTTACATAGATGTCTTCGGATAGGGTCCAATAACTTTGTTAACCATTTAGCCAGGTTATGTGTAGGTGATCTGCACATTGATAGAATTGTACGTAAAGATATGTTTGGTTTATGAATTTTAGGTAGTCCATATAAATAAGGGTACTCGGAACCCATAGGTTTTAGAAAATTAAATTCTTCTTTATTAATAATATTTATGTGTAGTAATTGAAGCCTAAGCCATACGAAAATTCAAATTCCCCTTTGTGTATTCCAAAAAAAAACCCAGTTTGTTCTTACCTTAAACCTACCCTGATAATATGGACTTATTATCCAGAGTGATTAGGTTTTGAATTGTGTTCAGATTATTATCATTACTTACTTACTTACTTACGCCTGTTACTCCCAATGGAGCATAGGCCGCCGACCAGCATTCTCCAACCCACTCTGTCCTGGGCCTTCTTTTCAACTTCCATCCAATTCTTGTTCATTTTTCTCATATCTATCTCCATTTCCCGGCGTAATGTGTTCTTTGGTCTTCCTCTCCTCCCTCGACCTTGAGGATTCCATATGAGGGCTTGTCTTGTGACGCAGTTGGGTGTTTTCCCCAATGTGTGTCCTATCCACTTCCAGCGCTTCTTCCTGATTTCTTCCTCCACTGGGATGTGATTTGTTCTCTCCCACAGTAGGTTGTTGCTTATAGTGTCCGGCCAGCGGATCTGAAGTATTTTGCGTAGACAACTGTTAATAAACACCTGTATCTTTTGGACGATGGATTTCGTAGTTTTCCAGGTTTCCGCTCCATACAGTAGAACTGTCTTGACATTTGTATTGAAAATTCTGACTTTGATGTTGGTTGCTAATTGTTTTGAGTTCCAGATATTCTTCAGTTGTAAATATGCTGCTCTTGCTTTGCCAATCTGTTCCTTCACATCTTCATCAGATCCACCGTGTTCATCGATGATACTGCCCAAATATGTAAAGGTTTTTACATCTTCCAAAGCTTCTCCGTCAATTGTGATTGGATTGGTACATACTGTGTTGTATCGAAGAATCTTTCTTTTCCCTTTGTGTATATTTGAGACCTATTGCTGCTGAGGCAGATTATTATCATTACTGATTATTATTATTATTATTATCCCTATCTCCTCTTACCCCATTTTCAGTCTCGTTGACCTTTTATTTTATATAGAAATGCTCTTAACAACTATGTAATGTGTGATCAAATTGTTCGAATTGTATTGCACTCATCTATCATCATATAGTTCTGATAATCTTCGTCTTCTTATTACATGATTGAAATTTATAAAAAAGGGACTAATTGTTTTAAAATTGATTAAATTTATTCAAATATTTCAAGTGAGGTTTTTTTGCTAACTAAATTAATCACTATGGAAAATTTGAAAATTATTAGAAATCGATTTCATCTTCATAGGATAACTTCACAATATTAGTACGTATCCTATCCTATGAGATTCAAATCCAAGATTTATTAATCTTGTTCACAAACATTTAATCTCTACATAACTGAATTGATATCTAATAGTATTATTGTTTAACTTGAAATTCCTAAAATCTCCACACAATCCTTTCTGATAATAATAATCATCTGCTCACTAGTGACTGACTTCAAAATAGATACTCCTGAAGTTCTAGTGAGAAGCCGTTACCAGTGGAGTTCAACCAAGTCTGTTGTGAGATATCAGCTCACTGAAGACAATGGTGTACGGTGGCGCAACTTCGTGGATTGGTTGAAGTTAGACATTAACACCGTTGGATGCCGGCCAGCTCAGTGGTCTAGTTGGTTAAACGCCTGGCGCGAGACTGATAGGTCCTGGGTTCGAGTCCCACGGGGGGTGGGATCGTGGATGCGCACTGCTGAGGAGTCCCATACTAGGACGAAACGGCCGTCCAGTGCTTCCAGGTTTTCCATGATGGTGGTCTAGCTTCAATGGATTCATGATTTCAACCAGTGAAATTCCTAAAATCTCCACACAATCCCTTCTGATAATAACTTGAATCGATTCACAAAAAATTGTATCATGGCAGTCTGTCCTGTTGACAAATCACATACTAGAATGAAATGATCTTCAAGTACTTCCAGGTTTCCCAGGGTGATCTAGTTTAAATTGAATTATGAATTCATGTATAAATAGAATTTAATATTGTGTATTAGTTATTATTTTTTAAAAAAAAATAAGTGTTTTACAATATTTTATTGATTTTTAATTGATTTTTTTGATTATAAAAAATAATTATTATGTACAAAATAGTTACCCTGGTTACAGAAAACAAAACGTGGGGGGAGTGTTTTTATTACTGAAATAGGAAAATCTGGTTTCATTGTGCGTGTGTATGTGTGTATGTATGTATGCGTGTGTGTGTGTGTGGGTGGGTGGGTGCGTGCGTGCGTGTGTCAATGATAGATTTACTTGTTAAATTAGTAGTTATGTAATAATAATAATAATAGTAAATTACAATGAAATTGTATAAAAGTTTAATTCATAATAATTGATTTTTTATGATGCATTTGTAAGCATAAACTATTACGCATATAAGCTGGTAATCTAAGTGAACGACTTTCACGATCAAATACATAAATTGGTTCATTTGTCCAAATTGAACCCTAAAAATGATATAAAGAGGATAGAAACTATGATAGTATAAAGATAATACTATATATTAATTTACAAGTACATACATACATACATACATACGCCTGTTATTCCTAATGAAGCATAGGCCACCGATCAGTATTCTGCAACTCACTCTGTCCTGGATCTTCCTTTTCAGTTCTATTCAATTGTTATTCATTCTTCTCATGTCTGTCTCGATTTCTCGGAGCGGTATGTTCTTTGATCTGTAGTGACCTACTTTTGTCAACAGAACACGATTGGTTTAATGAAAATAATCATTATTATAACCAATTGTACCAGTAATTGTTTTACTGTGCTCGTTTGTTTAACTATGCTAATGACAGCCATTACACTTACTCTCCCGTTGACTTTAAACTTGTTCGAATTTGGTTACGTTTAGTAACCACGATTGTACTACTTTGACATGATCTCGGTATTCTTTCGATAGCAGGAGATCGCCAACAAATACATCTCGACTACAGCCATCATCTGCCTTCTGATATTGGCCTTCACATCTGCATCAGATTCACCGTGTTCATCGATGATGCTGCCCAAATATGTAAAGGTTTTTGCATCTCCCAAATCTTCTCCGTCAGTTGTGATTGGATTGGTGCATGTTGTGTTGAATCGGAGAATCTTTCTTTTCCCTTTGTGTATATTGAGGCCTATTGCTGCTGAGGCTGCTGCTACACTGGTCGTCTTCTCCTGCATATATATATATCTATAATTTGATATAAAGGCCACATTCCTACAATTGGTCATCATCTGCAACTCAAAACGACTATCACCTAATATCAAAGTCACAATCTTCAATATCAACGTCAAGACAGTTCTCCTGTATGGAGCTGAAACTTGAAGAACTACTACAACCATCATCGAGAAGATACAAGTATTTATAAATGGCTGTTTACGCAAGATACTCAACATCCGTTGACCGGATACCATCAACAACAGCCTACTGTGGTAAGGAATAAACCAACTTCCAACTGAAGAGGAAATTAGGAAAAAACGTTAGACGTAGATAGAACATATATTGAGGTAATCACTAAACAGCATCACGAGGTAAGCACCAACTTGGAATTTTGAAGGAAAGCAGAAAAGTGGAAGGCCGAAGAACACACTGAGTCGGAAAATGGAAGCAAATATGAAAAGTATGAATAGCAACTGGAAAGAACTGGAAATGATTGCCCAGGACATGGTTGGATGGAGAGTACTGGTGGTCATATGTTGTTTCTTTTTGTGATGTGTAACCTTTAGGAATCAATGGATATGCTTATCAAGTAAAGAATTCTGTTATCAAGTATCGTAGTAAACAAATATACCATTGAATTGATGTATTCATGTTAATCAGTCAAAGAATGGTAAAGATTGTATCATTGTTTACTTTATACTGGTTATTACATTCTTTATTCATTCTATTCTGTTATTCTTTGTTCTCCAAGAAAAGCCAAGACAAAGAAGTATTGTAAACAAAGAATGTTTATGAGTTAATGGGGGATCTAAGGTTTTCACTTATATGCTAATCTCTATATAGCCTTAGAATCTATCTACCATATATACTGTTATAGTAGCTCACGTGAACTTGAGTTTGTTCACATTTAACTTGGTTAAGCCCTTTTGCTAACTTATTTAACGGATAGAGTCATTCGTACAAATAACAACTTATCCATATCATTGTACCTTTATAATCGTTCCAATTGTATGAATTGTATGTTTGAGCATTGCTTACTGCCTACTTATATATTCATTCTGATAGCCTTACTATTAGTCGCTTAATTGATTCAATGATTCATTTATATCACTGTGTATTGTGGTGACCTACTTTCATCAAGAGAACGCGATTAGTGTAATGGAATTGTTTTACTGTACTTGTTTGTTTAACTATACTCAAAACATTTTTCCTTCCCTTGATTGTGACCTTGCACGCGCTTACGTTTGCACAACTTTTGCACGATCTCGGTATTTTTTCAATACCACGAGATCGCCAACAAATACATCTCGACTACAACCTTCAATAGCCTTCTGATTTCTGGTACGCAACCTTCTTGTAGTGGTAATCATAGTCAAACGTGACTCAACGCCACACTACAGTATATATACATATATGTACATTTTAATCCTGTTCATTAACTCGCTGACTAGTTCATTTGACTTGAACGTTCACTCGCTTGCCTGGTTGGTTTTCAGCACTACCATTTCATGCTTGCTTACTGTACCTACAAATTTGGATATCTATATGTGGTACAATAATAAACGTAATCGAAGCTTCATATTCGCCTTCTGATTAATACACCGTCGGAGCATTATCTAGTGACGGTTATCAGGACGAACTATATACGAAGTTTAAGGATTACATTGAATACTGACTACCACACTATTTATTAAGTCTTGCCATTTCTATTACCATATAGATTAGAAACACCAATCCGTTTTGTATCAAATGTTAGATCTAGCTGAGTTTGTTATCATTCTCGTTCAAATCAATTGAATCCTCAATAGTTTATGAATAGTATTTACTTCAAACTAACTAGAAATCCAGGTATCATAATAGTAATTTTTTTTATCAAGATGTTAACATTTGTTAATAAGACCATAGTTTATGAACGAACCAATCAGATTAAAGATACACACGTCTGGGATTTTGGCGCGAAATTCATTCAACCATTTGGTCAAATGGCATTTTGGCATGATAGCTGATCTTAGTTTGTGATGAAATCTAATCTTATTCATCAACTGTAAATGATAATTTTAATTCCTTACACAGGTCTGTCTAGAGTCGTTTAAAGATTGTCCATAAATTAGATTCTTATGGAATAAAGTATACATTTTGTCTTTTTATTATTTATCTACAATTTTAAAATAATCACTAAGTATGTACATGTTAATAAATCAATTAAAACTTACATTATTACTATCACGTTGCCATTTAAGTACAGCATCATCATCATTGAAATATGTTGAACATGAAATGATCAATACATGGCTATCTGTAATTCTAGATGGTGTTTAGTTAAAAGAAAGATAATAAAATGTTGAATAAGTTTACACATCTTAAGTTTGAATTATTAATGATTCATTTAAACACATCAATATTGGCATAAAGAGACATCAAATAGATATATGCCACATAAATCAATCAATTTCTGTGAGAGATGGGATACTGCCTGGATGCCTAGACTAAAGCAAGTGATCCTCTGAGTCGGCAATACTCGAAGCTTCCGACTTAAAGGTTTGATTCACAAGGCAGTAAAACAACGTCAGCAGATTTAATCCAATGGTGATCGGTTATCAACAATTGGTTCATGCGCCATTTGTTCTTTCAAGATACTGGAGATCATGTGAATCATTGGTTTGAAATCAGGGTTTTTCAACTCTTCTAGATAGATCCGCCACATCCATCAACCTCGATAATGTGTCAGATATTCACACCCATGGTGCGAGAAGGAAGTGAGTAGGACTTCCCTTTCAGTCGTTGTATGCATGTTCCCATGTGAGAGTATTTGGAGAGGGAGTGTTGATTCTTTCCACTGTTAGCCGTACCGGAACATTTAAGAGCTAATAGTTTATAAAACTTATCAAAGATTAATGAACTACCTTGTTATAACGTGTGATCCGCCTATTGGAGAGCAGCGTGCGAGCAGCCTAGAGTCCTGATTGGTCCTACTTCTCTGTCTAGCCCAGCCAATTGAGTCCAGAACACAAGTCTCAGCCTCGGAGATATGAATCATTATATTTCAAACATACACTGTTTATATACCAAACAAAACAGACTACATCGTACCATAAAATAGAAAGTAACATTTGTATAAGATTTAACCTTCAGGAAATGACACAAATAAATATTGACCAATAAGGAGATGACACGTTGGAAGAATGTTGACCAAATGGGGAAATGACACTACTTCTCATTCAGGAATAGCATTAGATAATTTCTGGGGCATTTTCTGAATACCCCAACATACCTCCAAAAAAAAAAAAAAACTTACTTTTTCATAACTAAATAACGTATAGGAGTTTCAGCGACTTTACTACGTACAATTTTTTGTAATTCATATATATCACTTGAATCAATTGCATATTCTAATATTAATGAATTTTGACGTAATGGATAAAATAATGGTTCTGGTTTCTTATCTGGCACATGACTAATATCAGGATTTGATGGATAACGTGTAGATTTCAATGAAGTTTTTCTTGTTGTTTCATCCTTTCGTTGTAATTCATCTTTTAATGACATTGAACGCTATGATTAATATGAAATAAATAGAGAAATATTAATTGAAATAGGATTTCTGTAGTAGATTAATTTTATTTTCAATGATTAAGATCATGAGTCAGTTGAAGCAAGACCAACACCATGGAAAACTTGGAAGCACTGGACGGCCGTTTCGTCCTATTATGGGACTCCTCAGTGGCAGTGCGCATCCACGACCTCGCCCCCTGCGAAATCATGAGTCAATTCAAGCTAGACTACCGCAATGGAAAACCTGAAAGCACTGAATGGCCGTTTTGTCCTAGTATGAGACAATGGTGTACGGTGGTGAAATCTCGTGGATTAGTTGAAGTTAGACATTAACATCATTGGACGCCAGATCATTGGTTTAGCGGTTAAATATAGGTTCTGAAAAACCTGGGAGCATTGGACGGTCGTTGCGTCGTAGTATGAGACTCTTCAACAATGCTCATTCATGACACCGTTCGCGTGATTCAAAACTAGGGTCTTCACTTTAGCGCACGAACGCTTAAGCTACTGGACCAGTGAGTTGGCATCCAATGATGTTAATGTCTAGCATCAACCAATTCATGAAATTGCACCACCATCTTCCATTGTACTGAGGTAGATACCTGTCTCTAATCGACACAGATTAGCTTCATTGGTCACGGCTTCTCACTAGAATTGTAAGAATTCCCTCATTAGTGAGCATATAGTAGTTATCAGTATCGAGGTTGTAGATTTCATCATGAGACCTATAGGTCTCGGATTAGATCCTTGATGAAGTCTTGGTTGAGTATTACTAAGAATTTCAAAACTAGTCCAGTGTTCTCTAGTTTATGACCTTGTTTAATGGGAAAGTATAATTTTCAAAGGATAAAACTTACTTTATGTTTGGTCATTTGAATATTACCTTCGAAACTTTTTCCATTTTCTGTTTCTAGGAGAAATATGAGAGAAAGAAAAAATGAAAGTGAAAAACCATTTGAGCATTGATTTACTGTTAATTTTATGGTTGAATTCATGAGTCGATTAAAGTTAGACCACTATAGAAAACCTGGAAGTACTGGATGGTCGCTTCGTCTTCATCATTGTCCGTTCACGATTCCGCCTTGCGAGGATAGAATCCAGGACCTACCGGTCTCGCACGTGGATGCCTAACATCTTGACTATTTATTATTTTATTTATTTATTTTAACACATAGATATTGGTACAAGGAGGCACCAAGTACATATGCGCCACACAAATCTCAATTGATTTGTGTGAGGGCTGTGATACTGCCCAGGTGCCCAAACCGAAGCAGGTGGTTTTCTTAGGGGTCCACACCTCGAGCCTTTGACCTGAACGTCTGACCCACAAGGCAGTGGAGCATCGTAAGGAGATGCAGTTCTATGGTAGCCGGTGACCAACGATTGGTTCATACGCTATTTGTTCCTTCAGGATACTGGAGCTAGCCCATGTGCACCATTGATTTGGGATCCGGTTATAGCGCCGGACATTCGCTTTTCGTCCTCTCATTTTCGTAAACAACACCTGTGGTGCGAGAAGGCAGTGATTAGGACTTCCCTGACAGAGGCTATATACGCATGGCCATGTGAGAGCATTTCGAGAGGGAGAGCGGACTCTCCCCACTCTCGGCCGTACCAGGGCATTTGGGGGCACATCTTGACTAATGAACAAGCATTCAACGGTGTTAATATCTAACTTCAACCGATCCACAACATTGCACCACAGACCCACCATTTTTATCACTGAGTTACTATCTCACAACAGACCTGGTTGAACTTCACTTGTCACTGCTTATCACTAGAAATCCAGGAAATATCTCTTGAATCCAGTCACTAGTGAACCATGTTTATTCATATCAGAAGGGTTTTTGTGGAGATTAGAGTAATTTCAATGCTTGAGATCATGAGTCAATTGAAGCTGACTACCACCATGGAAAACCTGGACGGTTTTTTTTGTCCTATTATAGGACTCCTCGGCAGTATGCATCCACGATTCCGCCTTGCGAGATTCGAACCCAAGACCTATCGGTCTCGCGCGCGAACACTTAACCTCTTTGATAGTTTCTTAAAACCTTTCTATTTTACTAATGAATATTACATGTAAACAAATTATCGATAAATACGATTCTACAGCTTCAGAAAATGTTATCGTCGAAAAGAAAATCACCTTGACTGAAACTTCATCATTCAATTTAAGTAATCAGTGCATCATCTTTATCTGTATTCAAACTTCAAAAGTATCCTTTAGAATAGATTAACCAATGAATGATTGAAGTACATGCCTTCCATGATTTACTTAACTTATACAAATCAAGAAATTGGTGCAGACTATTCAAATCTGTCCTAATAATCGTCAATATAATGAGATGAGATCAGATTAACTGTTTATAATAAGCATAATCAAATACAAATAATCTCACACAGTTGGTTGCCTTTGTGAATGTTAATAAAGCCAAAATATGTATGAATGCAGACTATTATGAATTCATCATGTTTCATGATTTCTTATCAGTTACTTACAACGATTGATATGTAATGAAAGTTGAATACACTTTATTTACATCTCAGTCCTAGAGTAGGTCAATCGCGGCCCGGATAGCCCAGTAGTAACATTTTTGACTGTGAAACTGGGTGACATGGAATAGGATCCATCATGGAGCATCAGTTCCCTCAAAGATTACAGGTACACCTTGCTGAAGAGTTCTAAATAGCACAAACTACGGGTCCAAGGTTTCCTGTTGACTACTTCTAACCACCATCTTAGCCTAAAAGAGTGCACGCAATGTCGAGTCACCTAGACTAGTGGTTACGTCGCAAATTGATTGATAGCATTCGATCTGCACTAAGAAGAACCTGGCACACATGTTATTGATCATCACCCAGTGACCAATCAATTGTTTTACCACAATATTTAACTTTCATTACATATCAATGGTTGTAATCAGATGATAAAAATAAAACGAATCATGATGAGTTCTTATCATTCTACATCCATTTTTCTTTTAGCTTTACAAATTATCTATATGTAATTGAAGAATTTGAATAATGAGTTAAATATTCATATTTCCTTTGGATTTAACTTTAAACTAAACTTACTTTGATAAGTTTGAATTTGATAAACTAATACTTCACCCATTCCTGTACCAATCCATAATATATTATCATATGGAAGTATTACAGTGACTCGTTGAGGATTAAATGTATACTCTTCTTCCTGTACAAGAATATTCAAATGAAAATGTGTATATCTCAATTGAATATCGTTAAAATTACTTATAATCACTTTTATTACTAATAAATATTTCAGTAGTGTAAATAATTACAGAGAAATATTCCAAAATAAGCAAAGATGGATTGTGGCTAGCAGTAGAATCCAGTTTGACGCGCGTTTCGTCCTATTTGGGACTCGTCAACTGGATGTACCTGTATCTCAGAGTTGATGTTCACTCCGGGACCCAAACTTGATGTTAAAACTAAAACCCTAAGATCGTAGAATTAAAGTGTATTTCAATAATACTGAATGTAATGGATATATCCAGTAATAAGAATAGATAATATTCATTGTATTTCTTTAGATGACTGAAATTGAAGTTGTGGAACATATATTTCTAATTCAGAAGTTTAATTGATTCTTTTTTCGTTCTTAAAAACCCAAAGATCTTGTAATTCATGCCATACTATACCATGTATATTGACTACTGATAAGTCTGGGACAAAAACAAGATGACGTAACTTTTCCTGCTGAATTGCAAAAGTTTTCTCGGCGAATGTCAGTTTGTGATAATTCCCACCTTGAAATATTTTCATTTATTTGATGATGAGATATATTTATAGCTTGAAACATATATGATCGGAATAAATCATCGTATAGCTCAAAGTTTGGTTTCGAACGATCAGATTGGCTCTTAAATTGTACATACTTTGTGTAACTATTAATGAATCTTTTATTCACTTTCATATATCAAGATGGTTATGTGCTGTTCTATCAACTAATTGATTGTATAGTCTAATTATCAACTCTAAACTACTGTCTAATCGTGACTTGAAACTCCTAAGTAGTATTCACTCACGATCCCACCATTGGGGATTACATTCGGGATATTCGGTATTGCTCGTAAAAGTTGGATCTATGTACCACTGAGTCGGAATCCAGTGGAGCACAATGTTAACATCAATCAATCAATGTGTAATATGGCCTGACTATATTTCATTGTTTTTGATTGAGATCATGAATCGACTGATGTTAGACCACCGTTGGAAACTTGGAAGCACTGGACGGCCGTTTCGTCCTAGTATGGGACTCCTCAGCAATGCGCATTCACGATCCCACTCGCAGGATTTGAACCCAGGGCCTTCAGTCTCGCGCGCGAACGCTTAACCTACTGGACCACGGAGCCGGTATCCGATGGTGTTAGCTAATCCCTGTAGGGTAGAGACAAGTATCTACCTCCGTACAATGGAAGACGGTGGTGCAATTTCATGAATTCGTTGATGTTAGACACTAACACCACTGGATGACGGCTCAGTGGTCCAGTAGGTTAAGCGTTCGCGAGCGAGACTGAAGGCCATGGGTTGGAGCCCCGCGAGCTAGTAAGCATATGTTGTGGATATTATAGTAATTTCAATAGTTGAGATCATGAGTCCATTGGAGCTAGACCACCATGAGGCGGCATCGTGGATGCACACTGTTCAGGAGTCCTATACTAGGATGAAACGGCCGTTCAGTGCTTCCAGGTTTCCAACGGTGGTCTAATATCAGTCGATTCATGATCTCAATCAAGAACACAACCGCAATACTGATATTCCATTGTCTTAGTCGGGTACGTTTCTCACACTTCATACGAGTGAATTTCACTAGTCGCAGCTCCCTAGAACTCCAAAAATTCTTTAAGATAGTCACTAATGAGAACATTGAATTAAGTTTGAGCTTAAATAATTTATTTGAAGAGTGTTCACACAGAAAATAGATAATTAGGTAGTTAAATATTTTACCGACTTATTGAAAGAATAATCCTTTAACTATTTACCCGCTGCTTGTAAATGATAATACTTAACTGAAAATGACAACTTGTTGTTTATAATCTAAACATGTATGTTTCATATCACAACAAGTGGCTCAATCAACAGGTATCTCTAGAGCTAAGCATATCTACAATCTTAAGGGACCTATTCTTTCCCATGTGATTCGAATCTATATTATGCACCAGTGCATTCAAAGCTGCTACCGTAGGAAGCGGTTAACCTACAGTTGGAATCAGGTATGTCATGTTTGTCATTTAGTGGCAAATGAATCTTATCAATCAACTTTTGAAGTGGATTCAATGCATAACAATGTTATTGGATTGAATCATACCCTCATACATTAGACTAGAATATAATCAAATCATGTATAACTTTATATCAAATTCATTTATATCACTTACTGGTCTTCGACTTAAATAAGTTTCATTAACAATATTGAATAAAAGTATACGTATCAATCTATCTGGATCCCATAATTCAATTACTGAACTACCACGTACTGCAATCCAAACACCATTATTACCAAGACATATTTTTAATATAACATCTAATGGATTATTAGATATACTAATTTGTTTATAATAATCCATTGTTCTAAATTACAATAAACAATACAAGAAAAGATAATGTATGTAATCATAGAAACATTGAGTTATATCATCAACTGTAATCCCTATGGAACATAGATCTCCGACTAGTATTCTACAAACCACTCTATGCTGGACCTTCCATTCTAGTTGTATATAATTGTTGTTCATTCATTCTTCTCATGTCACTTTCCATTTCACTTCTTCTTTAGTCTTGAGGATTCCAAGTGAGTACTTGCCTTGTGACGTAGTTGGATATTATCCTCAATGTGTGTCCTAACCTTGTTTCAGCACTTGTTCACTAGGATTTTTTTACTATTCAATCTATTGATTCTGCAAATCACTTGGCTGCTTTTTTTTCAATGACTTTTGCATGTCAAACGAGTGTTATTTGTTACTTAAGTTTAAATAGAACATTCAGAGTTAGTCAGCTACTTTTTCTTGCATACTAGTTAGACGAACTCGGAGCAGAAAGAGTCACGAGGGTCATACAGTGTCATTATTATTACTATTGGAGTAAAGAGAACTTAACATTATAGGAATCAGTAGTTCAATGATGCATACTACTTATGCCTGTTGACATAAGTAGTATGTAACTCCAAACAGAAGTAATAGTATATAGCAACAGAAGATTGAGAAGATCCAATCGAAGAGAATAGGAATAAACAGTAATTGTGAAAGCGATGAAGAAACGACGAAGATTTAGACAATCAATAAAGGATTTGCCGATGAAGTACTTGATTTATGCTTTTCACAGTTCGTTGATCTGTAAATTCAGTTGCTTGAATATATCCATATTAGTAAATTGTCAGTAAGAAGCTCAGATGTTAAGCAACAGAACAATGTTGTATGGTCTATTCATCAGGACAATGGTTTTATGTATTGATTTTATTATTGAAATAGTTTAATGAATAATTTTAGATAAAAAAGAATAAGTCAATTAAAGCTAGATCACCATGGGAAACCTGAAAGTACTGGACAGCCGTTTAGTTCTATTATGAGACTCCTTAGCAGCATAAATCCATGATCCTGTATGTGGAAGTTTAATCCACGACCTTTGTAGTCGCGCGTGAACACTTCACCTCAAGAGATTAAGTCTCCTGAGTTCGAGTTCGACGTACGAAATCGTGGATATGAAATGACCTACCAGTTCTTCCAGGTTTACACTGATAGTTCAACTCAGATGGATTGATGAATTAAACTATTCATATAAATTCTGATCTTCAGCAGTACTCACCCACGATCCCACCCGCAAATCTCAAACCTAGGACCTATCTTTCTCGAGTACGAACACTAGACTACTGGGTTTTAATGTCTAACATTAATCAATCCACGAGATTGTACCACTGTCTATCATTGTCTTTAATGAGTGACTATCTCATAACGGTCATCCAGTTGTTCCAGGTTTTCTATAGTGGTTTAGCTTTAATGAATTCAAGAATTCAAGAATTCATAAAACTTACTTAGCATGAAAAATGAATATAGAACTACCACTTGCACACCATAATTGATTCTTTACCAAAAGTACAGATGATATTGGAATAAAACTAATAGTAATGTAATATATAGAATCACGTGGTTCTTCAAAACCAATATTCTAAATTTCAGCAAAAAAAAAAAAAAATAGAAATCATTCAATGAAGTTATTCAATTTTCTTAAGGATCCACGCTTCGAACCTTTGACCTGAAGATCTAATCTACAAGACAGTGTAACAACATCAGTAGATACAGTTTCATGATAATCAGTGACTAACAATAACTCCGCCTGGAGCCCCTTACCGGGGGCTACTGCCGGTCCCAAGCCCGGATAAAGGAGGAGGGTTGGGCATAGGGTTAGCGACCCCATCCCGTAGAAAACTAACTCGCTAAAAAAAAACGCTAATCAGAAAGTGACTAACAATAAGTTCATATGACATTTGTTTCTTTAAGATACTAAAACTAACTCATGTGAATCATTGATATGAAATCAGGGTTTTTCAACTTCTTTAGGTGAACTCACTGTATCCATCAACATTCGCTTTTTGTCTTCTTAATTTTGTAAACAACACCACCTCTGATGTGAGAAGGGAGTAAGTAAAACTTTTATGACAGTGGTTGTACACCCATGACTATTTGAGGGTATTTGAAAAGGGATAACTGACTCCTCCAATCCCCACTCTCGTTCGTACCACGGCATTTGTGGGTGGGGGGTTGGCGAACAGCTTACCTCTTGAGGTTAAGCATCCTAAGTTCTAATCCCACATGTTGGATCATGGATGTACACTGTTGACGAGCCCCATATTAAAATGAAACAATCATCCAGTTTTCTTTCAGGTTTATACTAATGATTCAGTATAAATGAAATCATATATTCAACTATAGATGATAATAATTATAATAATCAAATAAAAATCACATACTTCTATAACAACTAATTCACCATTGGTTAAACCAGCATAAACTTTATTTGTATGATCATGTATAAAATAGGCAAATGTTAAATCACTAACACTATCATGAATTGGAATTTGCCAAATTTTTGAACTATATTATATAGAAAAGAAAAAAAAAGGAATAATAAAATCAATAAAAATTTCATCAATATATTGATTTGATCAATGTTATTTGGCGCGATTATCATTTATAAATAAACCAATCAGATTGAAAATAGAAACATTTTGAATTTTGGCGCGAAATTCATTGATTCATTTGATCAAATAAAGTTTTGACATGATATGTAATGTCAGTATATGATGATTAGCCTAAATCTAATTTTGAATCCTAATCATTCTTCACAGTACTTTATAATCTTCATTTAGTTCCAGGAAGTAGATGAGCATTCTCAAGATCACTTTAGTGTTGCTCAAAGGTCATTCATCCATTATAGTCTTATCGATAAAACTGTTGTAGTGAATGGAGACTTGGCGTAGAGAATATAAAATTATAGAGTATCTTCCATCAATTGTCTCTTACAAAGTTTATTGTTCTTTCATTACTGTCAGTATATGACTAATGTCATATACTAGTTATATCGATATAAGAAGCACACATCACACTCGTTCCCTCTTTAAAGCAGTCGATCCCGTGGTGGTTCATGCTCTCCGTGCCATATTATTCTCTTCTGCAGTCTGACTTCCATAGCTCCGTCGACCTGCCAGGGCACCAATATCCGACATCCACCTGGCACCTGGGGCGTTTAACGCCTGTAGTCCAACGGACTGCTGAGCCATTTATAGCTGATATCCGCTCAGCATACTCACGTCTAACCGCTACTCTTCGTCGACAGCAACCGCTATAGCCAACACCGCCTCGCCAGAACACTCCACTCGATGCCACCCCTCCGCACCAGACTGTCCCAACCGGCACCTTAGCTCCAGGCTCACAACAGTATCTACAGAACAGCATCCTTCCCCCTCCTGGTTGACAGTGACCTCTTTGGTCTCGCAAGCGAACGCTTAACCACTAAACCACTGAACTGGTCGGCATCCAACGGTGTTGATGCTATGATACACAGTAAAAACGTTTAATCACTCAACTATTTGCAATTTAGGTGGGAGTGTATTATAAAATAGTTTGAAGATCCTTATCAATTCAGAGGTGGAATTTCATATTTTTATGTAGAACGGTTTCCAATAGTCTGATTCTATCACTAACACTATAGTTTTACTTTCAATATTCAATAATCTAAATGCGAATTACGTTTGAAGGCTATACACTAATCATAAGTGTTTACATATGGGATGCATAAAAGGTTAAATAGTTCCAGAACATATTTGATGCTGACATTTTTCAAAGATAACTCTACAATCACTCATCAAAGAGTCAGTCAGTCAGTGGTCTTGAGTGCTGTTAGAGGTATGAGGGCGGTTATCACTTCCCGGTTGCCCACACCGTGGAAGGGTTCTTCTGGAGGTACCTGAAAAGGAAATTGGATTAGAGTTGGTCATAGTGACCTGAGAGCGTGACCGCAGTGCCCAAGGGACAGCTGCTTGAGGTCGGTCACACACGACCTTTTTATGAGTGATTTTTGTGTTAGCTCCGTTTTTGTTGAGACCTTACCGCCGGAGACGGATATCCGTGGGATAAGGCGAGGTGTGCATTTTTAGGGTCGACCTTTTCTAACCCCACCCCTCCTTGTGGGAAGGCAGCATCGCTGTCATGCTGGTTGTCTGAAGGAAACACCTTACTGCTGTCACACCTCTGTACAGTCAGCAGTACGACTTCGCCTTCGGACCTTGGTTTTGTTGCTTTATGTTTTACCGCTCTTCAACCGACCTGTCTGGCATGGTAGGACCTTGAGGAACGGTTGTTCCAGCCAGTATAGCTCAGTTGCTTCATCACGATAGGCAAGCCCGACCACCACGTCAAGGTAGCAACAACGGTCAGGAACATCTTTTAAATGTTTTCCCATACTTCAGTCATCTTGTATTATGTCAAGCCCATATAGATTATCCTTTCTTCTGGACATATCATTCTATTCATTGTTCTCAGGCCATATTTTCATCCTGTCATTTGCTTGCTTATTAATCCTGATCAGTATTCTACATGATCTTATGTGTGGTAATTACTTACCTTATTGTTTATATGTCTGTAACTTATTTTTGATTGATTATACCTATCAATTAACGCTTGATTAATGTAAGTTGGCTCACTGGCATTCTCCACCGTATGTCATTTCGTTTCGTCTTGCTCTCTTCTCTTCTCTTCTCTTTGCTTCTTTTGCTTTGTTTCCCTAATTCTCTGTCTATATCAACGATTGTATGATATGTATGTATTCGAAATTCATTCTCATATTTTACTTGTTTAATTCTGTTATTAACTAATGCGAGTTAAGTTAATGATTATATACGAGGGTAGTAGGAATGTATATTTCAATAACAATCATCAAACGATCTAACTGGAGTTAGATAAAGAGTCATTAAAGAGGTGAACCTAACGATGAACCTAACACAGTAAGTTACGTCGATGAAGAACCTTCTACATACTATAATTTCAATGAAAGAACTCAATGCAAAGTGTGGCTTTTGTCAACTTACATCACAAACACGAGATATCCGTCTATCATTAAATGGATGGGTATACTGTGCAGCAGTTTGTTCTGTTCTAATTTACGGCTGCGATATGCGACCATTAAGAGTATTTCATCACAGATGTTTTAGAAATATTGCTAGTGTCTGCTGGGATTATCGAGTAAGTAATAGTGAGATTAGAGGCAGGATATTAAGGGATGATGGTAAATCAGTTGATCAGGTTGTAAATCTTCATCAACTCAGATGGTTGGACCGCTTGTTGCGTATGTCTGAACACCGATTACCACCACGCTCAATGCTGACTAGTGTTACAGATGGTTGGAAGAAAGTTATGGAGAGCCAAACCACAACGTGACATCAATGCTTGAAGTCACTAACTTGTAGTCTGAACCACGTTGGTAGATGCATGACCATCGTAACTAATGGTTGGAAACTCTGGGTGCCATGGCTCAGAATCGATCATAATGGTGTAGGTGTATACACTATTTGTCTCCCCTTAAACTATGAAATTAAAATTCCTTCATATCTTTCTTTATACAAATTAATTCTTCCTTCCTGTACTATATCCTTATATTCACTCTTTCTTTTATATATTACCACCATTGATTTAACCACTCCTATGACTCCGGTGTTCATTTTGTTGTGCTAATGAGTGAGGTATGGTAACTTGGACCGTTGCATAAATGTGTCTGGTCCTACGTTGTAGCTGACTGCCACATTGCAACATGATCGATAGCATTCGATCTGCACTAATAATAAGGACTAGACAAGCATGACATTGGTCACCACCCAGTGATCAATCAATTGTGATTACATCTCAGTCCTACAGGAGGTCGGTCGCGGCCCGGATAGCTCAGTGGTAACATATCTGAATGTGACGCTGGGTGACACGGGATCGAATCCGCCAGGGAGCAGGTACACCTTGCTGACGAGTGCCAAGTAGCACGAAACCCGGGTCCAAGGTTTCCTGTCGACAACCTCCAATCACCATCTAATCTGACTGACTGACTGATAAGTTCATCAATTATATCATCATACTACTACAATCTACATAGTTTCCAAAAACACCCCTCCCCAATAAGTTAAACGTATAACTGATCAATAGTGTGTTACTATAGATACAAATTATAAGCTATTACATAATCTATTCAATAATGGATAGTGATACCGGTATTATGTAATCATAATCATTAGACCATTTCACTTTATAAGGTTAATGCAATTACTTACTTTTGTATGACTGAATAAGCACATAATTGTTTAGACATCATACCAAGTAGAATAATTTCATTACTAAATGCACATATACAACTGACACGAGATTCCAACTGAATTGAAATAAACAAAAAAAAAAAAAACAAATGATGATTTCAGTGTTTAGATTTGTTATATCCCAATGAGAATAGTGGATGGTAACTGTTGAGATATGTTTATGGACCAAAACAATAGATAGATTTTTATCAGAAGGGGTTTTATGGAGATTGTAATAATTTCAATGATTAAGATCATGAGTCAGTTGAAGCACTGGACGGCCGTTTTGTCCTATTGTGCAACTCCTTAACAGTGTGCATCCACGACATCGCCCCCTGCGAGATTCGAACCCAGGACCTAGTGGTTTCACGTGCGAGTTATGCATATTCATGTTCCTCTTATCATATGTTTTATTTTGACCCATGAATTATTATTACAATTCGACTTATCACGCTTGAATTATGTCCATTCTATCAATTACCGTATCCCATATTCATTGATACTTTTTGGCTAGATCTTGTTTAAATGTTATACTTTACTTCATGGTGTGATGTGGTCTGTTTGGTTTTTTAGTTAGACATTAACACTGTCGGATGCTTGCTCAGTGGTCTAGAGGTTAAGCGTTCGCGCACGAGACCCACGGGTTCTGGATTCGAATCCTGAGAGGCGGGTTCGTGGATGCGCACTGCTGAAGTGTCCAGTGCTTCCAGGTTTTCCATGATGGTCTAGCTTCAATTGACTCATGATCTCAACTGCTAAAATTATCATAATATTCACAGAAACCCCTTCTGATATTGTATTTTATTTTCACAATCTAAATCACGAATATATCGAAGCTAGACCACCATTGAAAATCTGTAAGCACTAGATGGTAGCTTCGTCCTAATATGGGACTACTTAGCATTGCCGATCCATGATCCTGCACGCGATTGTCGAACTCAGGACTTTCGGTCTTGAGCTCATTGTTGAGGAGTCCCATATTAGAATAAAACAGCTGTTTAAAATTTATAATGAACATTTCATCAAGTCAATAAATACTCTATTCATAGATTACTGAGACAAATTTTGGTGATTTTTACTTCAACTTTAGTTGTTCAACACTGTCGAAGATCTCAGTTTAGTTCGGCATTAAAAGCCTAGTAGACTTCTAACATACTTTAGATATGATCAAAGACTACTTTCAGAAAGTTACTAGACTTCATTGGATGCTATTCGGCAATCGTTAGGAGTGCTACTTTGCAACTTGATCAATGAAATTTGATTAGTTTTAAAGATTAGGCAATATGATATTAGTTATTATTAAACTGTTAACCAATGTGTTAGATGGTTTTGGATAGGCGACAACAAACACTATTCGGCCTAGGTTATACGTAACCTGAGACTGGTTAGCTAGGCGTACGTGTAATCATGGTTAGATTGGTAATTTTCTGTAAGACTCATATCCGCATCGTCTAGTAACAGATCTTTAGACATTACTTCTAGGCTATTCACGTTCCTAAATGATCTCCTGTTGATCTGAGGGGCTCATCATCGATTGACCTATTAACAGTAACCAGTATTTTGTCTATATAGTCCTTTAGTACTTGTCAAACTCTGTTTATCACTGGTTTACATGAATCAACATCGTAAAAGGAGTGTCACCCTACTGAAGATCATAGATAACCTTGCTGATGAATGTCAAGTATCATAAAACGTATGTCAGTCTTGTTTTCCTCTTTGATAACTGTAAACACTAGAGGCAATATTGTAACTTGGTCTATAGAAATCGATCAGCGACTAAACAAACAACATTTTGGTTACTATTCGATGATTAATCAATTAGGCCAACTACATAACTTTCAATGATGATGATTTGGATGATGGTGATGATGATGATGATGATGATGATGATGATGATGATGATGATGATGATGATGATTTGGATGATGATGATGATGATGATGATGATGATGATGATGATGATGATGATGATTTGGATGATGATGATTATTTGGATGATGATGATGATGATTTGGATGATGATGATGATGATGATGATGATGATGATGATGATGATGATGATGATGATGATGATTTGGATGATGATGATGATGATGATGATGATGATGATGATGATGATGATGATAGAAAAAGAAGTAACATAGTAAAGTGTTATTAATCTAGAAACTAATCTTTCATAGGTAAACATAATATCAAACTGTACTATAAAACTTAAGAATATTGTACTCACTTCATAACCGATACTTTGCATACAGTTTGATGTAACAACAACTTCTGAAATTTGACTGTATGATTTATCACCATGACAAATCCACAAATGCTCTATAGAAATAAGCAATAATATTTAAGCATTGTTAATTGATTAGATTGATATCATCCTTTGGTTTATAAAAGAGATTATAAAAGGATAATAATAATAAAGAAATAATATATTTCAACAATTGAGATCATAAGTCAACTGAAGCTAGACCATCATGGAAAATCTGGTAGCACTGAATGGGCGTTTCCTTCCAGTGTGGGACTCTTGAACAGTGCGCATCCACCATCATGCTTCGTGAGATTCGAAACCAGGACCTATCAGTCTCGCGCTCGAACACTTAACCTATAGAACACTATTTCACAACAGACTCGGTTGAACTCCTCTGGTCACTGCTTCACATTATAACTCCAGGAAATACCTCTTGAAGCCAGTCACTAGTAAGTATATGTAGATTCATATCAGAAGTGGTTTTTGTGGATATTATAGTAATTTCAATAGTTGAGATCATGAGTCAATTGAAGCTATACCACCATAGAAAACCTGACGGGATCGTAAATGTGCCCTGCTGAGGAGTCCCAAAATAAATAGACGAAACAACTGTCCAATTCTTGAAGGTTTTCCAAAATGGTCTAGCTTTAAACGATTCATGATCTCAACTATTAAATCTATGTCATTTTAATCCCATCAATTATTTTGTACTTGATTATATGCCCTGGTATGGCCGAGAGTGGGGAGAGTCCACTCTCCCTATCCAAATGCTCTCACATGGCGACGCGTATACAGCCCCTGCCAGGGAAGTCCTACTCACTGCCTTCTCGCACCACAGGTGTTGTTTACGAAAATGAGAGGACGAAAAGCGAATGTCCGGCGCTATAACCGGATCCCAAATCAATGGTGCACATGGGCTCCAGTATCCTGCGGGAACAAATGGCGTATGAACCAATCGTTGGTCACCGGCTGGCTACCATGGGACTGCATCTCCTCACGATGCTCCACTGCCTTGTGGATCAGACGTTCAGGTCAAAGGCTCGGGGTGTGGCCCCCTAAGAAAACCACCTGCTTCGGTTTGGGCAGCCGAGCAGTATCACAGCCCTCACACATATCAAATGAGATCTGTGTGGCGCATATCTATTTGGTGCCTTCTTGTACCGATATCTATGTGTAAAAATAAATAAATAAATAATAATTATGAATCTAATAAGATGCAAAGCTTGTATACAAACGTAAATCTTTGCACGTTTGATTATCTTGTTCTATGTGATGCTTTCCATTCTAAAAACACATGAAGTTGTAAATATCCCTTCCTCTAAGCGTATCTGTTTTACACATATCAGCTATTAACCAAAATTATATATTAACAACATATGCCCTTGAAATCACTAACTTCTGGTTTGAACCATGTTGATAGATGTAAACTACCTGGTTGGGGTCCACATGACTATGGGAATCAATGGTTGGAGACTCTTGATGACATGGCTCAGAATCGATCACAATGGTCTAAGTGTATACAATCTCTATCTTCCCTTAAACCGTGATATTAAAATTGCTTTATATTTTTGTTTCTATGAACTGACTTTTTCTTACTGTACTTTATCCTTATAAACAATCTTTATTTTATGTATTACTACCATTGAAATGACTACTTCTATGAATTTGATGTTTGTCTGGTTGTGCTAACCAGTGAGGTTTGGTAACTTGAATCGATGCATTGATGTGCCCAGTCCTATGTTGTAACTGACTAACTGATCAACTGTTTAACAACATTAACGTCTGTTAAAGTATGAAGTGCAATAATATTGTCACCAGTGATCATACAGGTTGTATGAGTCTTATATATCTTGTTGATAACAACATTGTCATCGAAATTCTATCAAAACAATGTGTTAATTAGGTCTTTCAAATAATGTACTTTTTTCCCTTCATCATTCTGATTATGACTGTAGATTTACGTGCATTCTACAAATATTTATGGAATACACGTACATATATTGAGTATTATTATTATGAAGATGATGAAAATAATGATTATTCGGTCGTTGGGAACATTTATCACAACTTATATATATATATATTTATTCAAAATTTGCCCAGAAAAGCCCTGGTACGGATGAGAGTGGGGAGAGTCCACTCTCCCTCTCGAAATGCTCTCACATGGCCACGCGTATATAGCTCCTGCCAAGGAAGTCCTACTCACTGCCTTCTCGCACTACAAGTGTTGTGAACGAAAATGAGAGAACGAAAAGCGAATGTCGAATGCTTTAACCGGATCTCAAACAAATGGTGTACATAGGCTCCAGTATCCTGTGAGAACAAATGGCGTATGAACCAGTCGTTGGTGACCGGCTACCATGAGACTGCATCTTCTTACAATGCTTCACTGCCTTGTGGATCAGATCTTCAGGTCAATGGTTCGCGGTGTGGCCCCCTAAGAAAACCATCTGCTTCGGTTTGGTCACCTGGGCAATATCACAGCCGTCACACATATCAAATGAGATTTGTGTGGTGAATATATATTTGGTGCCTCCTTGTACCAATATCCAAGTGTTAAAAATGTATGTTATAAAAATTATACTACTTATAAGTAGGTCATGTGTAAATCATAAATTACATTGAATTTCGTACTTAATATGAATTACGACGAAATATCAATGCATCATGTATTTCTAAACAAACCTTCGGCCACATTCTATTAATATATTCAAACATAAATGTTCTTGAAGTCTTTCAATAGTTTGCAAATGCTTTGTTACACTTTTGTTGTTTCAGTTCATCAACAATAGCTTAACTGTATTCAAATTTCTAGTTATATGTTAAAATTCAGAGGGGTGTTTTGTGGATATTATAGTAAGTTATTAGTTGAATTAATGAGTAAATTGAATCTCGACCACCATGGGATACCTGGAAGTACTGGATGTCCTTTTTGTTCAAATATGGAACTCCTCAGAATGAAAGGTCCTAGGTTGAAATCTCACGAAATAAGATCGTGGATGTACATTGCTGAAGAGACCCATACTAGAATGAAACGGCTGTTCAATGCTTCAAGGTTTTTCATGATGGTCTAGCTTCAATGAATTCATGATCTCAACTATTAAAATATGTTAATATATTGATCATTGTCATGAAAATATTTGCTTTTTTAGAATGGTTATGCACAACTTTTCATTTAGATATTTCAATTATTGAATTAGTATACTTTATTAGTATCATTTATAATTAAAATCTTACCATTATCATAAAATGTGATTGCTTGAATTACAGCTTGGTTTTCTTTAGTAGATCGTTTGTGTTGAATGTGATTCTATTGATTAAAATTTCAGAATAATGATAGATTTGTGTTATAGCTTAATGACTCTAACAAAGCATTCAAAAACAAGAACTGTACTTACTAACTTTCTTGCTTACTTACGCCTGTTGCCCGACGTCGAGGAGCATAGGCCACACATCAAAACTCTCCATTCAACTCTGTCCTGAGCAATCCTTTCCAGTTCTTCCCAGTTATTATTTATCCTTTTTATATCTGCTTCCATTTCCCGACGTAATATGTTCTTCAGCCTTCCTCTTTTCCAATTTCCTTCAGGATTTCAAGTTATTACTTGCCTCAAGATGCCGTTTAATGATTCCTGTAATGTATGTCCTATCCACTTACAATGTCTTTTGCTAATTTCTTCTTCAGTTGAAAGCTGGTTAGTTCTCTTCCACAAAAGGTGTTGCTGGTTGTATCCAGCCAATGGATGCTAAATATCTTGCTTAGACAACTATTTATAAATACTTGTAACTTCTTGACGATGGTTGTAGTATTTCTGCAAGTTTCAGCTCTATACAGTAGATTTGTCTTGACGTTGGTATTCAAGATTGTGAACATCCATATGGCACGCTTAGATCTCGTACAACATAAGTGTAACTATAAGTATTCATCAGATTATGCCATCCTAATGAATGTAAGAACACTGTTTAGATTTTTTAACTATCTACGTCGATAACTGTAATCCTCATAAATAATACAACACTCTTATTACCTATGAATGCGTTTGCATTTGTAAATACCTGTCTTTCTTCTTCTTCTTCGGTGTGTCATTACTTCAGGGAAATAATGAAATCTTATCCCACCCACTGTTAAATAACTCAAATTGATAACTGTTTTTAACAAAAGAGCAATGAATTGATTATAATCAAAAGCATAACAATCAGATGGATTGAGATCAATTAGATAATCATTTACATTCAGGGAACATCGTTGATTATCCTTCAAGAACGTCTCTCTATGATACCACACGAAAGTAGACTGTTAAGCTTTTTGTCTTGTGGAGAATATAATAATTTAAGATCTCTGAGTCATAGAGTTCCAACGATCGAATTCCTTATCAAATTGATTTACGTTGAGAGGTTACAGATTGAATGAAGTTAAGAATTTAGGCAATAAGATTATGACATAATCCCTTGAAGACATCACGTTCATTATGATATTAAAAAAGTTTAGATTTAATAGCGTATAGCGTCATGAATATGTACTATCCTAAAGTTTTCAACAATTCATTAAACTATCCAAGTTCCATGTCAAGGACTGATCTCTGACAGGATAACATTAGATTTGAAGAAACACTGAAACAACTGCTCTTTCCTAGTATGAGATTCTTCAGCAGTTCAATACTACTACTACTACTACCATTCTACCGAGTGGTAGGACCCAAGTCCTATAGATTTTACATCAATCAACACTTCTACACCTCTCCCTACAACTTTACTACTTGATAAGAACAATAAATATAATTACAATCAACAACTACTTACTTGATTCTCAATAAATTCATCAGGGGATTCTTTCATAACATTTTGCCAATATCCTTTTTTGATAGACATTTTTTTACTTAATATTTCATAATGATAAGCACGACGTGTTGCAATGAGTTGAGGTTTAGGAAATGGTCGAAGTTCTTCAAAAGCTGTCTAGAAAAAAAAAACATATTCAAAACAGTTAGTGTTTTTTGATGTGTGTATAGATAAACTGACGATATTCAATATGGTTCCACTTTGGCAAGGGGGGGGGAGGGTTATTGCAAGCGATTCAAAAAGCAGTGACTAACAGTACATATAGTCAAGAGTGTTTGTATAATCTTTGAACGTCTCCATGGATTTAAATATCAGCAGTGTGTATCCACGATCCCACCTCGTGAGATTCGAAACCAGGATCTATCGACCTGTATTTCTTGGAGTTCTAGTGAGAAACAGTGACAAATGAAGGTCAACATGATCGATTGTGAGATAGTAAATCACTGAAGACAATGGTGGGTGTGTCGCTCAATCGCATGGATTATTTAAAGTTAGATAAGAACATCACTGGATACCGGCTCAGTGGTCTACAGGTTAAGCGTTCGCGTGCGAGAATGATAGTTTCCGGGTAGGAATCTCGCGGAGCGGGATTCTACATGTACACTGCTGAGGAGTCTCATACTAAGCTGAAACGGCTGTTCAGTGCTTACAGGTTATCCATAATAGTCTAGCTTCAGTTGACTCATCAATTTAACCATAGTACAATTTTACTTGATGATATATTAACCCCTTTTCATTCGTATGATATCAAATACTGATCAGCAACGAGGTATAATATGCACATATCTCATCTGTTTAAAACCTCATAAATTGTTTAGAACTTTATAATCCTGATTATGTCATTCATTAGTACACTGAATATAATTCTATCGCTCCATGTTAGATACAAGATACTAAGAAGTAGTAAATTGTTAATACCAAAATCCATGAGTTCGAATCCTGCCACCGGGATTGTAGATGCTCACTGACGAGTAGTACCTCAATAGGATGAAACGGCCATCCAATATTTTCAGTTTTTCAACAATGATCTAACATCAATCAGTTCATGATCTCAATCAACAATATAATAATCTTCACAATCCTATACTGATAAATCTAAGTTGTTATCACTAAAAGTAAAAGCAAACGTTAAAGATATATCAAGAGTATGATAACCTAAGGGGGCTAGTCAATTACATAAACAGAAGAATATGAAATAAGTCTACAGTTCTTGGAAAGTTTTTTTTATTTTTTTTAGTTATCACACTCTATATTACTTATTTATATGTATCCTGTTATATGTGATGTGTTGTTCAATCATACTATTTCTATGCTCTTGATCTAGAAGGACATAGACTTTTTGGCCCCCAAATGCCCTGGTACGGCCGAGAGTGGGGAGAGTCCGCTCTCCCTCTCGAAATGCTATCACATGGCCATGCGTATATAGCCCCTGCCAGGGAAGTCCTACTCACTGCCTTCACGTGGCGAGGGTGTTGTTTACAAAAATGAGAGGACGAAAAGCGAATGTCTGGCGCTTTAACCGGATCCCAAATCAATGGTGCACATGGGCTAGCTCTAGTATCCTGCGGGAACAAATGGCGTATGAACCAATCGTTGGTCACCGGCTGGCTACCATGGGACTGCATCTCCTTACGATGCTCCACTGCCTTGTGGGTCAGACGTTCAGGTCAAAGGCTCGGGGTGTGGCCCCCTAAGACAACCACCTGCTTCGGTTTGGGCACCCGAGCAGTATCACAGCCCTCACACAAATCAATTGAGCTTTGTGTGGCGCATATGTATTTTGGTGCCTCCCTGTACCTATACTTATGTGTTAAAATAAATAATAAATAAATAAACATAGACTTTCTAGTTAGTTACAAGATAAATAAATTTATAAACTTACTTTAATTAATCCATCTACATCATTAGTTAATCGAGTTGCAGCTTTAAGACATTTCCAAAAACTGATTGTATCACTTTGTTCTAATAGCATATCTTGATTACGTTTAAGAATTGCCACTGCAAATCGAAATAAACTTTCTGAACCTTCTAATAGAAACACATCCCATATACGGATCAATGTCTATAGGAAGTAACGAAAGTGTATAACATTTAATAAATCACTTTCAAAGAATATAATCAGCATATATAGCATGACATATGCGCAATGGAATATATTTAAGCCTGTTACTCCTAATCGAGCATAGGTTGCCGAATATCATTCTCCAACCCACTGTGTTCTGAGCCTTCCATTCAACTTCTAATCAAATGTTATGCATTCTTCTCATGTCTTTCTTCATTTCACAGCGTAATGTGTTCTTTGGTCTTCCTCTTTTCCATTGGTTTTGAGGATTCCAAGTGAGGGTTTGTCTTGTGATACAGTTGTATGCCTTCCTCATTGTGTGACCTATCCACTTTCAGCGATTCTTCATGATTTCCTTCTACACTGGAATCTGGTTTGTTCTCTCCCATAGTAGGTGGTTACTAATAGTATCTGACCAACGGATCCGAAGTATTTTTGTGTAGACAACTGTTAATAAACACTTGTATCTTCTGCATGATGGCCTTCGTAGTTCTCCACGTTTACACCTCTTACAGTAGAACTCTCTCGACATTTGTATTGAAAATTCTTTCCTTGGTGTTGGTGTGTAGACAGTTGTTTTGAGTTTAAGATGTTCTTCAGTTATAAATATGCTGCTCATGATTTTCCGATACACCCCTTCACATCTTCATCAGATTTATCATGCTCATCAATCATGCTGTCCACATATGTGGAGACTCTTCCATCTTTCAAAAATTCTCCATCAAGTTCAATTTGAATGATGCGTGCCGTGTTATATCGAAGAATCTTGCTTTTCCCTTTGTGCATGTTGAGACCTACTGCTGCTGCTGCTGCTGCCGATGCTACACTGGTCGTCTTCTCTTGCATTTGTTGTTGCGTGTGTGATAGAAGAACCAGATCTTCTACGCAGTCTAGATCGTTCAGCTGCATCTTAACTGTTCACTGTATCTCGAGCTTCTCCCCATATGTTGACGTTTTCATAATCCAGTCAATCACCGAGAGAAAGAGAAAAGTTGAGAATAAGCAACGTTGCCTGACACCGGTGTTTGACTCGAACGAGTCTGTCATCTGTTCTCCATTCACAATTTTTCAGTTTAATCTATCATAAGAACTCTATATGTTATTGACTATTTTCTCAGACACGCCGTAGTGTCGAAGAAAACTCCTTCACGTTATCTTGTCCACAGTAAATTGGAATTATCAAACACCTGTTGAAGGTTTTCAAAATTTAGATTCATACAGTCATCATAATGTACAACTTAAGACTTGAGTAACATGTTTTGAAAAGGTTCACAATGTCATAGTTTCGATTAACCTCTTAAACTTAGAAGTTGCAGTATTTCATATCTTTGAACTTAGATCCTGTTAGCTCTTTCAAACCATATCTATCATTTACTTGTTTTCCACTGAAATTGATATTGTTATTTCCTATACTATGAATCTCATTTCACTTTATCATTCATTCCGCTAATCTATTCATTCCAGATCCTAGATTATCTATCGTTTCATTATATACTTGTTATCATTAATGAATTTAAGTACAAGTAGCAACTATGTATCCCATGATTATATTTCTAAAATTTCTAAAAATTTAGTAACTAAGATCAAACCATTATGAAAAAGCCACATTTCTACATTTAAAGTACAGAGGGATTGGATGCAGGCGTAAATGCAAGGGTTGGAGAGGTAAGCGCCACATTTCTACATTTGAAGAACATACGGAACTAAAAACAACTATCTTTAAGTCTATATTAAAGACAGAATCTTCAATATAAACGTCAAGATAGTCCTACTGTATGGAGCTGTAACATGAAGAACTAGTACAACCATCATCAAGAAGGCATAAGTATTTAGAAATAGTTGTTTACACAAGATACTCAACATCTATTTCCCGGATACTGTCAACAACAGCCTTCTGTAAGAGAGAATAAACCAGTTTTCAACTGAAGAGGAAATTAGGAAAAAGACGTTGTAAGTGGATAGGGCATACATTACGGAAATCATCAAATTGCATCACAAGGCAAACAGTAACTTAGAATCCTAAAGGGAATTGGAAAAGAGGATGGTTGAAGAACACATTACGTTGAGAAATGAAAACAGATATAAATAGGATAAATAACAACTGGAAAGAACTGAAATGAATTACTTAGAACAGAGTTAGATATAGAGTGTTGATGTGCGGCCTATACTCCTCAACGTGGGGTAACTGGCATAAATGAGTAGGCAATTAAGTTGACCATTATACTCCTCTCGATTATGTAATCATAGTTACAACTTAGTAACAAAAAAAAATATCTTAATTATAAAACAAAATCAATAAATCAATAATTATTGAATTTATACTTACTTCAAATGGTACAGAATCATAAAATACAGCTAAGAACCAATTTAATGTCACTGCAGATATATCAATACCTAATCGTTTTAAATGTGATGATAAACGTGGTAATTTTTCATTGATTATTTCTTTTAATACAAGTTGATCAACTTGTGCATCAATTAAACCAGAATTAAAATAATTCTCTGGTAAAAATCGTTCTAATATAGCAATTAAACACCTAAAATTACAAGTAAATACATTATAAACATATATGAAGGGGTATTATAGATATTTTAATAGTTGAGATTATGAGTGAATTGAAGGTAGACCATCACCATGGTAAACTTGGAAGCACTGAATGGTTGTTTTGTTCTAGTGTAGGACTCCTTGAAGGTGTGTATCCAAGATATCACCGCCCCCTTTGAGAGTTTCGTAACCAGGAACTAATAGTCTTGCGAGCAAGCGCTTATTCACTAAAGCACTGAGTTAGCCGGTCATGTAACGGTGTTAATGTCTAATTTGAACTAATTCATGAAATCGAACGACACATTTACCGTTGTCATCAGTGACTTACTATCTCACAACAGATCCGGTTGAACTCCATTGATCATTGCTTCCTACTAGATATATATGTAAAGTTGAAATGAGTTATATCATGAGGATTTTTTATAGGTTATCATTGAAATGTAATCGACAAGACCATTATTTATGGATGAGTCAATTAGAAGCGTTTGAAGGATTTCAAGGTTATAGCCAGCCAATTTCAGTATCTGATACTCATTTACGATCGATTCACAGAGGAATTTAGAGAAAATGTAATAATTGAGGGGCTATAACAAAAGTAACTACTAAAAAATTCCATTATTTATGATTAAGGTAATCAAATAACTTGTGACCTTTTTGTAGATTACCGTGATGATGTTGTCTTTCGGTGTAATGTGTGTTGAAGGAGGAAGTGTGCTAGAATAAGAGTTTTTCCTCGATCCAGATTGAGATTAGAGCAAATTATGACAGTTGTTGCTAACTGGATAATAAAAGCATCAGTGACACTGGCTTCACCCGAGAACTACAATATATACGGTTGATTCGAGAAAGTACAGATGCCTACATAGACTTTGTTATGTGCATCATGTCGTTGTCCACAAGACGTATTTTGTGGACGCAATCACCGGAATGCACACAAACAATATTGAAGCTATATGGTCGGGACTGAAAGAGTTTTCGCTAACAAAGGCCAACTATGATGGAGCTATATGGGTGAATTGCTCTACTGTATTCATCACGATTTTAGAACCTCTTAACCTCTTTCTAATCTTGATAATATATTTTTACTCTATACTAACAGTTTTCTGATTGGTTAATATTTCTCAGGGCCACTTAAGCTTCGTTCAAAGGTTGTCCATAATTCATAGTCTGGTCCATATAGTTTTAAAATCATTGATATAACCTCTTGAAAGTTTCAGTAGCTAAGTGAATAACTCAATAGTATTTGAAGAGAATGGTACTAAGTTCACGTCGCAAAAGTGAACATCAACTCTGAGATGCAGATACATCCAACTGACGAGTCCTAAATAGGATGAAACACGCGTCAAATTGGATTCCACTGCTAACCACTATCCATCTTTGCTTATAAAGCCTGTTCAGTTATCTCTAAGTTTATTCTCAGTGTTTGTTATATTATCTGAGCATAACTGTAGAAATCTATTTATGTTCTAGTTAGGCTAATCGCGTGTTCTCCATCTGAGTTAGGTTGAAGCTCTATTGGATAAACGTTAAGAGGGAATCTTGTGTAGATATTCGTCTAAAGTAAATTAACATCTTATTCGTGTCGATGAAGAAACTCCGACCGTTATGACAATTTCAAATATAACTTTGAAAACACATACTATAGCTAAAGACTTAAACAGTAGGTACCTCCGTGGTGTATGCTACTGATATTGACAAATATAAGTAGTATGTATCATCAATCAAAAGTGAAATGTCTAGAAGTAGAAGGTTAAGAAGATCAAAGAAAAGTGAATGAGAACATAGAATAATAGGTGTGAAAACGAAAGAACAATGAAATACCAGACGAGTGATAGACATTTTGTAAATGAAGTATTTACCATATGGTTCTCAGATTATACTGAAATGTTCGATTGACCCTATTTGTGTTCTCGTTCGTTACACTTTTACGTTGTGCGTTGGATACGTCAGATACGGTCATTCGCAATGTTTTTTTTCAAATTATTATCTTAGAATGTTATTTCATCGATCTGTCATAGATAATGTAACTAAACATTGGTTTCTGTGTATCCTGTGCGGATTGCCTCGATATGGCCTTAATTCATAAGTATTATAGGCATTGATGAATAGCGGCTAGAAGTAGAATCTAGGGCACTTGTTTCGTCCTACTTGAGATCGATCAGTTGGATTTACCTCCATCTCGGGGTTAATATTCACTCTAGGACTAGAATCTAGTACTGTTTGCTTCAAACACCATCGCATTATCTTCTTAGCTACTGAGTTCTGATTGCCGCTAGCTTATGTAATCTGTACATTCAGGTAGGTTCAGCTGACAAGTTCTAAATAGAACGAAACGCGCATCCTAGGTTCCATTACTTGAAGTCACTAACTTCTTGTCTTAGTCATGTTGGTAGATGCAGACTAGTTGGTTGGGATCCGCATGACTATAGTAACCAATCGTTGGAGATTGTGTGTGATATGGCTCAAAATCGATCACAAAGGTATCGGTGTATACACTATAAGATTAATATCGCTTCATATCTTTCTTTCTGTACTAGATCCATACATAAAAACTTTCCTTTATATATTACAACAATGAGTTAACTGCTTCTATGAATCCGGTGTTGGTCTTACTGTGCTAATAAGGTATGGCAACTTGGACCGATGCATGTATGTGCCCGGGGTCCTACGTTGTAACTGACTGACTGACTGACTGACTGACTGACTGACTGACTGACTGATTGTATAATTCCATCATAATTACTGTTATATACTTTACTATTGTTACTATGAATTTAAAAAGAAAACAATTAAATGTAATAATTTACCAGAAAGCATCTTCTTTTCTTAAGAATAGCAATGCAACAGCTGCTATAAAATTCATACCCTGACAATAACCAATTTTAGAATTATGTATACTATAAGCTTGTAATACTTCTTGAAGTTTTTGTACCTAAATTTAAAGTAGAAAAAAAAAGCAAAAGGAATGAATTAACATCATTGACTATGAGTAAGTATTTGATAGCGTGATTTAGGACAACACTATGGAAGCTTCTTTGACATTACGACGTGTCTGAGGGAATAGTCAATAACATATAGAGTTCTTATGATGGATTAAACTGAAAAATTGTGAATGGAGAACAGATGACAGGCTCGTTCGAGTCAAACACCGGTGTCAGGCAACGTTGCTTATTCTATCACACACGCAACAACAAATGCAAGAGAAGACGACCAGTGTAGCATCGGCAGCAGCAGCAGCAGCAGCAGTAGGTCTCAACATGCACAAAGGGAATAGCAAGATTCTTCGATATAACACGGCACGCATCATTCAAATTGAACTTGATGGAGAATTTTTGAAAGATGGAAGAGTCTCCACATATGTGGACAGCATGATTGATGAGCATGATGATGCTGATGAAGATGTGAAGGGGTGTATCGGAAAATCAACAGCAGCATATTTATAACTGAAGAACATCTTGAACTCAAAACAACTGTCTATCAACCAACACCAAGGAAAGAATTTTCAATACAAATGTCGAGAGAGTTCTACTGTAAGGGGTGTAAACGTGGAGAACTACGAAGGCCATCATGCAGAAGATACAAGTGTTTATTAACAACTGTCTACACAAAATATTTCGGAACCATTGGTCAGATACTATTAGTAACCACCTATTATTGGAGAGAAGAAACCAGATTCCAGTGTAGAAGGAAATCATGAAGAATCGCTGAAAGTGGATAGGTCACACAATGAGGAAGGCATACAACTGTATCACAAGACAAGCCCTCACTTGGAATCCTCAAAATCAAAGGAAAAAAGGAAGACCATGGAACATATTACACCATGAAACGGAGGCAGACATGAAAAGAATGTATATCAATTACATGGGATTAGAATGGAAGGTCGTGGACAGATTGTGTTAAAGAATGCTTGTCGGCGTTTTATGTTCCATTGAGAGTAACAGTCGTAAGTACGTAAGTATTCTATATAAAGTTAATGTGACATCTAGGCAACTGTTTATTTGAGTTAACATTCAATAATTTACATTTTGAATATCATTAAATCCACTGTTAAAACACTCTAACTAATAAAGCTTAATCAGTGTAAAATGAGAACATATTTGATAGAAGGTTAAACAGAGTGGACAATACTTAATCACTTGAAAACCTTTAACCAATCGATAGTATTGATTATCGATATGTTTTAAATGAAATCAATAGTGTCCTATACGATGAATGTATAAGTCATATGATTGAACTTCAGTCGAAAGAACCACTACAACAAATTGTGTCAGCACCAACCTTTTTGGATCATTCAGATCCATTCATTGAGTACAATACAATCATCCATATATATCTTGGCAACATTCCTACTAGTTATTTTATTTTTTTAAAATCATATTTATTCCAATGATAGTAATTAAATAGTTTATATGTAACAATGAGTAACAATGCCAGAATGTTTAGGATGCGTTTCTACTACTCTAAATGTAAGTTGTTGTTTTAGGACTAACCTAAGTCAACACCTGAACTAAGGATAAGAAGTGAAGTAGTCGAATGCATCGACAACTTCACTTATCTTGGAAGACTGATCAATCCTAATAGGTTAGTGTCGGCTAAAATCTCTAGACGGATTCAGAAAACTCGTTTGGCTATTGCCAACTTACGTCATCTATAGCGAACTCGAGATATCCGTCTATTAAATAATGAATGAGTAAACTGTGCAACAGTTCGTTCTGTTCTACTTTGCGATTGCAAAAGGTGGCCATTAAGAGTAAAAGATACACGTAGGTTACTAGTATTTCATCACAGATATTTTAGAAATATTGCTAGTGTCTGATAGGGGATTATCGAGTAAGTAATAGTGAGGTTAGACGCTGAGTATTAGACGATGATGGTAAATCAGTTGATGAGGGTGTAAATCTTCGTCTACTGAGATGGTTGGACCACTTGTTACGTATGCCTCAACATCAATTACTACGACGCGCGATGCTGACTAGTGTTAGAGATGGTTGGAAGAGAGCTAGGGGCGGCCAAACTACAACACGGCATCAGTGCATTAAGTCACTAACTTCTAGTCTGAGCCATATTGGTAAATGCAGACTACTCGGTTGGGGTCTGCGTGACTATCGTAACCAATGGTTGGAGACTGTGTGTGACGTCACTCATAATCGATCACAATGGCGTAGGTGTATACATTCGTTGTCTTCCCTTAGACTATGAGATTAAAATTGTTTTATATCTTTCTTTCTACGATCTGATGCTTACTTTTTGTACTATATCCTTATACACAATCTTTCTTTTATATATTACTACCATTGAAATGACTGCTCTCTGAATTTAGTGTTTATGTTGTTATACTAATGAGGTAATTGGACGAGATTCAGTCTAATTATTTCGAGCAATCAGCATTCAGTTTTGTCATCGGCGTCCTTGAAAGACATTGGTCGTTAATTAATCATACAACATTTCTCATCACGTGCTGATTCAGGAAATGGCTATCTCTCCCGATCAATTACAATCGCTATTTGAGCGACAAACGCAGCGGTTCAAAAATAGCCAGCTGAATGTTTTAGACAATTTACGTACACGGCTGCTAAATCATCCATGTTTTGGAGATGCTACAGAAGTTGATAAATTAATTTCTAATTTGCATACGGAGCTGGAAATTGACTGCAGTACATATGAATGCGTTGATAAAAGCCTCTATGAATCCTTGATGAGCAGTAATGTAAGTGAAGCAGTCATTCATGATCCGCCCAGTGATCCAGAAATGTCCACTCCAAAAACATGCCCAGTAATGGATCCAAACTCCATTATCCTTGAAACAGCATGTACAGACAGTGATGTATCCAGCTCACAAAAGGACGCCCTGCTAAATGCTCATGTAAGTGTCGCAGTAACCGCCCATGAAAAAGAAAACAAATCGTGCAGTACACTGAATGCAGCTGTACCAAATGAAGCTCATCATTCCGCGATAGAAGTTCCGGACGAATCTAATCGCGATTCCCTTGATTTGCCAGAAAATATGTCATATGTGTCAAATAATGATCAAGAACCTGATTCAGTTTTGATGGACGCTGATTATCATAGCGATCCACTATCTACTAGTGATATTCTTGATAAATTTGATGATAATCTTTTCGAAGAATCAAATCACCGGCTACCATGGGACTGCATCTCCTTACGATGCTCCACAGCCTTGTGGATCAGACGTTCAGGTCGAAGGCCCAGGGTGTGGTCCCCTAAGAAAATCACCTGCTCCGGTTCGGTCACCTGGGCAGTATTACAACCCTCACACATATCAAATGAGATCTGTGTGGCGCATATGTATTTGGTGTGTCCTTGTACCGATATCTATGTGTTAAAGTAAATAAATTAATAAAATAATCTCTGAAATGGATGGTTTAGTCGTAGAGTTTTCATCGTTCATCTGAACGACATCACTTCTACCTGAAGCTTATGCTGATAATATTCTTCAGAAAAACATAGAAAGCTCCATGATCAAGCCATTCAGTTCAGAGAACAAAACTCCATTGAAATCATCCATCTCAGCTACAAATCATTTCCACCATCTCACAAAATAACTTTTGAATTATAATCATTATTATCAACTTAGGTGTTGTGGAGATTTTCAAGTTTTTGATTAAGATCATGAACCGATTTATATTAGACCACCACTGAAAACCTAGAAGCACTGGGCGGCCGTTTCGTCTTATTGTGGGATTCCTCAGAAGTGCGCATCCATGATCCCGTTGGATGCCGGCTCAGTGGTCCAGTAGGTTAAGCATTCGCGCTCAAGACTCAAAGCCGTGAGTTCAAATCTCGCGAGCGGGATCGTGAATGCACACTGCTGAAGAGTCCCACAATAGAACGAAATGGCCGTTCAGTGCTTCTAGGTTTTCAATGATGGTCTAACATTAATCAGTCAAAAAAAAATCATTATTGTCTTTCTTACCCCAGGAGCGTCAATATTATCAAATTGTACATTATTTGGCATAGTTCTCAATAAATCAAGTGAGATTTGACGTCTATGTTGAGCTGCAAGCTAAAATTATAATAGAAATTGTATTGGTAATCATAAAATCGATATGAATGAGTTGCTTTAATCAATGAATTAATCAGTTAACTGTTATCTGTAATTCAGTAAATTGTATAGATATTAATACCAAGGTTGAATTTGATAGATTGATAGAGCATTAAGTAGAAATTGAGTGGTAAATATATCATTTGTGGTATTATAACAAGTAGAAAAAATTGTATTTCTGATGTTTCGTCACTTAATGTAAGTCACTTCTTCAGACTAAATCACATAATGCTAATCCCTATTGAGGTCAATCAGAAAGAATGTCTGAATATTCATCCCATCGGAACTGTATATCCAAACAATCACATTTGACCATATTTATTTTCCACAATATCAACCCCACTACTTTTGTGGTAAGTGCTACTTATATTGATTTAAGTAGCATATGTGCACGAGTCAGGAATGTAATGTCTAGCAGAAGAAGTTGGGGAATATCAAGAAAGGTAGAATGGGAATATAAAGTGATTAGTATGGAAATGCAAGAACAATGAAGTTCAACACAATTATTGAACATTTTGCAAATTAAGTATTATAGTTTGGTTTTTTTTCCTATTTTACCAAGGAACTCTGTCATTTTGTGTTAAATATAATTCCATTGTTCTCACCTGTGTTCTCCTTCACTACATTTCGGGTAAATGCTATACCGATTATAGATCAGCGGATAAAACAGTGACTGAATTGACAATCCGGCATATTGTAACGTGTCTGCACTTGTGTTCCCCTTCACTACACTTTATATTACAAATGCATACATTTTTCATATCTATACTCTGACGCACAAATTAATACAGTGATAGGTCAGAAGAAGTAGATTACATTAAGTTACGAAACATTAGAAATACAATTTCTCTACTTATTGGGATATCATAAATAGTATAGTAATTGTTAAGTAAGTTACAGTTTATTTGTATTGTCAAATGACATAATTATATTAAACTAAACTGTTTAACTTACTTACTGACGTCTGTTACTCCTCGTGGAGGAGCATAAACCGCTCAGAAAGTATGTTTACTGTAGCGTCAGGAAACAGGGATGAAATTGTTCAACCACAAATATGTAATCTATATGCTTATCCTTTCTGAAGCAAGTTGTAACGGTGATCAAATACAAACTACTTTTTCATCCAGTCAAATGATTAGTACTAAAGGGGATAGTAGGGAGCTCTTTTGATCTATAGAAACCTATACATCTGTATATGTGGTTTTCAGATCATTATCCTATAACTTGAATTTGTCGGTTGGATAACAGAGAAATAATATAAATGCTGTTTAGATTAGTGTATAATATTGTTTTTGCAACTCTGATATATGATTCTAACTGAACTCCAGATTCAGTTCCTAAGCTCTTTTAGTAACATTCAAGCTAAATATACACAGCGACTTGAACACCAGAGAAAAGGCACGAAATACGGGAGAAACACTATCCTCAGAAGATTCGTTGATGTACAGAAAACTTAAAGTTTTTATAATCTTTTAGATGGCTTTGGGATCCCGGAAACTTCTGGAACACTATTAAATATAGTAACATTATAGGTAATCATCTAATCAGAAACTCGACATGTGATTTTCCACTTTCTAAATGTTTCTGGCAAAAGATCTAGTGATTGCTGTTTTTAGATAAGATGATTCTCAGTGTTTTCAAAGCATTAGTAGGCATTTTGTCAAGGAGTTCTCTGAATCCCTTCAACAGAAACTGGTATTCAAATTATATGAATACATGTATAATTTACCATTTTGTTAATTTGATAATTATTAAGATCATGAATGAATTGAAACTAGATCACTATGGGAAACTTGAAAGCACTAGATCAGTGTTTCGTCCTATTGTAAGACTCTTCAACAGTATGCATCAACTAAAAGTATCTGTAGGGGTTTTGTAGAGATTGTAGTAATTTCAATGATTAAGATCATGAGTCAGTTGAAGCTAGACCACCATGGAAAACCTGGAAGCACTGGACGGCCGTTTCGTCCAGTGGAGTTCAACCAGGTCTGTCGTGAGATAGTAACTCACTGAAGACAATGGTGGATGTGTCGCTCAATTTCGTGGATTAGTTGAAATTAGACATTAACACCGTTGGATGCCGGCCGGCTCAGTGATCTAGTGGTTAAGTGCTCGCGCGCGAAACCAGTAGGTCCTGGGTTCGAATCTCACAGGGGGCGAGGTCGTGGATGCGCACTGCCACTGAGGAGTCTCATAATAGGACGAAATGGCCGTCTAGTGCTTCGAGGTTTTCCATGGTGTTGGTCTAGCTTCAACTGACTCATGATCTTAATCATTAAAAGTATCTGTATTGATAAAGTGAAATTCAGTATAAGATTAATCTATCTATCATATTAAATGTTTTAAAAGAATAAAATGGATTTACTTACTGTATTTTCACTGAATTCTTCTAATAGTCCATTATAATATAATGATCCTTTCATTTGCATTAATTGATGTAATTCACCATGTATTAACATACGCCATACACCTTCACGATATTGAATAGGTATACCAGAACGACAAAGAATTTCTAAATCAGCCTTAAAGAAGAAAATGTAATCGATAATATTTTATTGATTATTGATGAAACATTTTAAATGATAATGATGGTTTTGAAGAAATCAATAAAAATCTTTAATTGATCCTGAAGGAATAAATGGTGTATGAACCTATTGTTGGTAACCGGTTACCCATGGGACTGTATCTCCAGCGCCTCTTCTTGATTTTTTTCGTGCACTACAATCTGGTTTGTTCTATCACATATTAGGTCATTGCTAATAGTGTCTCACCATTGGATCCGAAGTATTTTGTGTAAAACAGCTGTTAATAAACATGTGTATCTTCTGGATGATGGGTTTTCTAGTTTTGAAAGTTTTCGCCTCATTCAGTTAAGCTGTCTTGACATTTGTATTGGTGTTAGTTGACAGTTGTTTTGAGTTCGGACTCTACTAAACATTGGAGTGAAGTATCACCTTAATACACTGAAGGAATTCATGATTCACAATAATTTAACATCTTATAAGTATCTACTAAAATGAATCCGAATACGGTTGATAGATAACAACTTGTTTTGATATATGCTTCATGACCATTGAAATGTATTTCACAATCCTGATTAGTTGAAACTTATGCAGTTCGAGTCTAGTTTTCGTTATAAACTGGCGTCGAATAGAAGTTTGTTAGTAAACTAGAGATAGAGGATAGTTAGATTTTTTTTGCAGTTTAAGATCCCCTATAGCAATGAACTTACTTATTTACTTACGGCTGTTACTCCTCGTGAAGGAGCATAGGCCGCTCACCAGTATTCACCATCCAACCCTGTCCCAAGCAATCCTTACCAGCTCTTTCCAGTTGTTATTCATTCTTTTCATATCCGCTCCTATTTACCAACGTAATGTGTTCTTTGGCCTTCCTCTTTTCCACTTCCCTTCAGGATTCCAAGTTAGGGCTTGCCTCGTGATGCAGTTTGATGATTTCCTCAATATATGTCCTATCCGCTTCTAACGTTTTTTCATAATTTCCTCTTCAGTTGGAAGTTAGTTTATTCTCTCACACAATAGACTGTTGTTGATGGTATCCGGTCAATGGATGTTGAGTATCTTGCGTAGACAGCTATTTATAAATACTTATACCTACTTGATGATGGTTGTAGTAGTTCTCGAAGTTTCAGCTCCATACAGTAGAACTGCCTTGACGTTCCATATTGAGGATTCTGACTTTGATATTGGTTGAAAGTTGTTCTGAGTTCTATATGTTCTTCGATTGAAAGAAATGCTATCCTTGCTTTGCCAATCCTCTCCTTTACATCTGCATCTGATCCTCTATGTTTATCGACGATGCTTCCCAGGTATGTGAAGGATTCCACATCTTCCAGAGTTTCGCCATCAAGAGTGAGTGGATCGCTGTTCTCCGTGTTGCATTTGAGGACCTCGATTTTTTCTTTGTGTATGTTGAGGCCTACTGATTCAGAGACTGCTGCTACACTGGCTGTCTTTATCTGTATTTATTCGTGTGTATGCGATAGGAGGGCTAAGTCATCTGCGAAGTCCAAATCGTCTAATTGGTTCTGAGCTGTCCATTGTATGCCATGTTTTCTCTCAGATATCGAGGTCTTCATAATCCAGTCAACCACCAGAAGAAAGAGGAAGGGAGAGAGTAGACAATGGAGCACACCTAGAATTTCATATAGAATTTGTTAGTGACTTCAAAATGGATATCCCTCTACATTAACTGATATCAAAACGAGTATATTATTTATCAGATATCAAGTTTTGATAAGTCTAAACGTATCAAGTGCCTGTACTCGAATCTCATCTCAAGATGACAGAGTGAATAGGAAACATTTGACAAGAAACTCTACTGGAGTAATTCGATGATCCATTTAGTCAAAGTCTTAACTTACATATCCTTAATCTGATTGGAACGAGATTTGTATACAAACCTATAATTTGTACATAGTGAAATTTGGTTGTTAGGATAACTTTCTTATTCATTTCATTCATATGATCTAATGATTAGGCTTAGTTTATTGTAAGTTTATAGTAGCACAATAGGATAACAAAAAACGTAAAACACTTCCCAAGAAACATTAATATTATTCATAGGTGAGACTATAATTTATGGACGAACCAATTAGAGATAACATACACAGGTCTCGGATTTCGGAGTGAAATTCATCCATCCATTTAGTTAAATACATTCATGATGATGAAATCCCTAAATCTAATTTCTAACCTTAGTCATCAACTATAAATCATAATCCTAATTCCTCACACTGATTGATTATTATTTATTTTAACACATAAGTATAGGTACAGGGAGGCACCAAAATACATATACGCCACACAAATCTCAATTGATTTGTGTGAGGGCTGTGATACTGCCCGGGTGCCCAAACCGAAGCAGGTGGTTTTCTTAGGGGTCCACACCCCGAGCCTTTGACCTGAACATCTGACCCACAAGGCAGTGGAGCATCGTGAGGAGATGCAGTCCCATGGTAGCCAGCCGGTGACCAACGATTGGTTCATACGCCATTTGTTCCCGCAGGATACTGGAGCCAGCCCATGTGCACCATTGGTTTGGGGTCCGGTTAAAGCGCCAGACATTCGCTTTTCGTCCTCTCATTTTTGTAAACAACACCCCCGCCACGAGAAGGCAGTGAGTAGGACTAGTAAGTAATTGAACATCATCAGAGTCACTCTGACGTCGTTCGAAGGTCGTCCATAAAATATAGTCTCACTTATTATTATTATCATTATTATTATGTAAACAGCTTACTCTTGTCAATTCTCTATTTGCTTGAGTTAATAGTTCAGTCCAACGATAGAAATTTTCATCACCACCAGATAATTGACGTGTATAAAAGTCATATAATTGTTGACAACTATAATGTATAATACTTGTTTCATTTAAATAACTATGCTTGAATCCATAAAAATCCACATGATAATCTGCAGTTTTTGGTCTACATAAGAAATAATCAAAGAAAAGATCTATCAATGGTGGATATATCGCTTAATTTTATGGATGAGTTGAAGTTAGACATTAACATTATTGGATACTGACTAGCTCAGTGGTTTAGTGGTTAAGTGTTAGTGCATGAGACTGATAGGTTATGGGTTTAAATCTCTCAGGGGGGGGGGGGACGGCTTCGTGGATGTACACCGCTGAGAAGTCCCACAATTGAATGAATTAGCTATCCAGTGCTTTCAGGTTTTCTATGATAGTCTAGCTTCAATTGACTCATGATCTCTTAAGTATTGAAATTACACTAATATCCATAAAACCCCTTCTCTGAAACAAGTATATGTAATATATATTCAAGATATCACGAAAGTTAATATCATGCATGCATTGATCACACACCCTAATGTGAGTTGATTTTGATCGAGATTGAAACCATGGCAACTAACTTATAACAGTTCACATCCAATTGGGTTTATTCACATTTAACTTGACTAATCCCTTTTGTTAACTTATTCAACGGATAAGAGACATTCGTACAATAACAACGTATCTATATTATTTTACCTTTATTATTGTTGAACTTGTATGAATATGTATACTTGAGCATCGCTTACTAGCTATGCATATATTCATTCTGCTAGCCTTACTATTAGTCGCTTAATTGATTCAATGATTCATTTATTTCACTATGTATTGTAGTGATCTACTTTCATCAAGAGAACGCGATAAGTGTAATGGAATCAATCATTATTATAACCAATTGTACCAGGGATTGTTTTACTGTACTTGTTTGTTTAACTATACTCAAAACATTTTTCCTTCCCTTGGTTGTGACCTTGCACGCGCTTATGTTTGCTTAGTGGTTCCGTTTGCACTCCTTTGGTACGATCTCGGTATTCTTTCGATACCACGAGATCGCCAACAAATACATCTCGACTACAACCTTCAATAGCCTTCTGATTTCTGGTACGCAACCTTTTTGTAGTGGTGATCATAGTCAAACGTGACTCAACGCCACACTACAGTATAGATATATGTACATTTTAATCCTGTTCATTGACTCGCTGACTAGTTCATTTGACTTGCACGTTTACTCGCTTGCCTGCTTGCTTTTCGGTACTACTCTTTTATGCTTGCTTACTGTACCTATAAATTTGGATATCTATGTCTGGTACAATAATAAACTTAATCGAAGCTTCATATTCACCTTCTGAATAATACACCGTCGGAGCATTATCAAGTGACGGTTATCAGGACGAGTTGTATACGAAGTTTAAGGATTATATGCAATACCAACCACTACAAACTCAATAGTTCTAACAGTTAAGCGCTGCCACGAAACAACACAAGGACAGAACAAGTGTTTGGTATTCACTGATTTTTAGTCTTAACCCAGATGAGATTAATTTACTTACTTAGATAGATATGTGAGGATTTCATTTTACATTAGAAGACTTATCTCCATTGTAGAATTCTTAGTAATCAAAAAATAATAGTCAGTATCTAAGACTTAGTAGTTAACACGATGACGTTTAGAGCAAACGGCATTGAGTTCGAGTTTCCTAGTAAATACCAACTCTGAGATACAGGTACATCCAACTGATAAGTCTCAAATAGGACAAAACGGGTTTCTTGGTTTCCATTGCTAGCTTTTATCCATCTTAACTTATAATGCTCGTGAATTAGGTCAATATCAACACAGTACACACAGTATACATCTATGCCAATACAAGGCTGATCAATTGCAGTTCTAAACATCAACACGAAAATTCAAGTAAACAATACCAGGTGAATTTAATCATCTTGATGATTTGCCTGATATTTGTGACTTCAACAATTTCGGTAAGTATTATGGTTCTAGTGTTATTATTTCTTTTAAGTAATTTACTAATTGAATTCATGAATCAATTAAAGCTAGATCACCATGAAAAACCTGGAAGTACTGGATGACCGTTTCGTCCTAATATGGGACTCTTCAGCATTGCGCATCCACGATCCCGCTTCTCGAGATTCGAAACCAGGACCTATCGATCTAGCGCGTAAACGCTTAACCTCTAGACCACTCAGCCGGCATCCAATAGTTTTAATGTCTAATTTCAATTATTACTAACAAAATCCTTGATTTGTTCTTTTAGAAAAAAACAACTACATTTTTAACTACACTGAGGATCATTTATTAAGAGTTTGAATGAAACAAGTAGTGTGTCACTAAAAGCATGAACCATTAAAAACTTAGAACAACTGGACAGCTATTCAATGGTTATCTGACTTAGATTGGTTCGCGATGACTATAGAAGATAACAATCTAAACAACTTGATACTGATAAAGTGTTTGTTTCAGTATTGTTAATGTCTAACTTCAACCAATCCACGAATCTCGCGGGGGGTGGGATCGTGGATGCGCACTGCTGAGAAGTTCCATACTAGGACGAAATGGCCGTCCAGTGCTTCCAGGTTTTACATGGTGATCTAGCTTCAATTAACTCATGATTTCAACTATTGAAATTACTAATTCTCCACAAAACCCCTTCTAATATAATCATCTGCTCAGTAGTGACTGACTTCATGAGATACTCCTGGAGTTTTAGTGAGAAGCCGTGACCAGTAGAGTTCGACCAGGTTTGTTGTGAGATATCAGCTCACTGAAGACAATGATGATGGTGGCGCAACTTCGTGGATTGGTTGAAGTTAGACATTAACATCGTCAGATGCCGGCCAGCTCAGTGGTCTAGTTGGTTAAACGCCTGGCGCGAGACTGATAGATTCTGGGTTCGGATCTTGTAGGGGGCGGGATCGTGTATGCGCACTGCTGAGGAGTTCCATACTAGGACGAAATGGCCATCCAGTGCTTCCAGGTTTTCCATGGTGATCTAGCTCCAATTAACTCGTGATTTAAACTATTGAAACTACTGATTCTCCACAAAACCCCTTCTAATTCAAACAAATCACATATCTGTGCTTAGATGTTCGTTCAAATACTTGAGCACTGGAATCGTATACATGAATATCATAAGAAAGACATTCATTTTCATTTCTAAATTAATCAATATCTTCATTGTATTCACTTACTTAATCATTGATGGTAAACTTGGATCTTTACGTCTTGCTTCATCCAATAGTTCACTGATTAAATTTTTATACTAAAAACAATAAGAAAATGATAAAAGATTTACACTTTGGTTATCTAGCTAAAAAGGTACCTCTTCAATATATTGTACTTATTTAGACACATAAGCATTGGTACAAAAAGGTACCAAATAGATATGCGCCACATTTTACCATTCGATTTATGTGAGGGCAAGGATACTGCCCGTATGGCCAAACCGGAACAGGTGGTTTTGTTAGGAGGTCACACTTGAAGCCTTCGACCTAAAGGTTTGATTCACAAAGTAGTGGAGTAATGTCAGAAGATGCAGTCCCATGATAGTTAGTGACGAACAATAGGTTCATACACCAATTGTTCCTTCAGGATCCTGAAGGCAACCCATATGCATCATTGGTTTGAAATCAGGGTTTTCCAACGTCCGTGGATGGATCCTTCATATCCACCAATACATTTAAAGCGCCGGACATTCGCTTTTCGATCTATCAATTTCGTAAACAACACCCCCGCTGCCAAAAAGCCAGTGAGTAGGACTTTCATGTGAGTTTATGTATGCACGTGACCATGTGAGAGAATTTCGAGAGGGAGAGTTGACTCTCCCTACCCTTGGCCATACAAGGGCATTTGGGGGCTGCTGTTGTATGGTGATTATTGAATTAAAAGTTGGTATAGACTATGGAAGCATATTAGGTTCTATTGAATTAGTAAATTTCCATTGAACAAGCGGTCCATTCAAATTTATCGGCCCTCATTGTTCCATGCATACTTTGAATACCATACATTGTTTTATTTTGAAGTTCGTTTCAGTTCGCATATCATGTCTACCAATGGTGTGTGTTTAGATCTTTCCGTAAAATGTTTGAAAACGTTTGCGAATTCGGTTTAACAAGAGACTTCTAGGTGATCCGTGCTTTTTCCTCCGCTTTTGTTTAAAGAAATCACCAAGGAATTTATATGCCAACTACATTACACAAAAAACCTAACAGGTCACAGATCTAAGACCGTTTGAAAACAAGTGGATGTAAATGATGGGTAATAATTAGTTATATACTTTATATAAAGCGGGAATTTTGTTGCTGAGGACAAACCAACTTCAAGGTGAATAGGAAATTAGGAAAAAACGTTGAAGATGAATAGCACAGACAATACAGATATGACAAAACTGCATCGAGAGGCAAGTTCTAACACAGAATCCTGAAGGGAAGTGGAAAAAAGGAAGACCGAAGAACACACATCATGTCGGGAAACGGAAGTAGAGATCAAACAGATGAACATCAACTCGAAAAGATTGCTTAGGACAGGGGTGGATGGAGAGTATTGGTGGAAGACCTATGTTCCTCCCTGAGGAGTAACAGGTGTAAGTAAGTAAGTAATTTCGTATTTCATGCTGAGAACTCATTAATGTAGTGGAACATATGGTAATTATTATAGAAAGTATTATAATTATTTTGAGGGCCAGTTTATAACTCCATGTTATGGAGAACTAAAACATTCTATTCTTGTACACCGACTGTCTCTCTTTTTCCTAGTTCTCAAGAACATTCTGTACTTTAATTTTCATATAACCCAATGTTGAAAATACAAAAGAAGCCATATCTTTCAAGTTGAACTATGCCATAGAACTAAAGATACATCTAAGATTTAGTGTAAGATAGTAGGATCTTGGAAGATTTTGAATTTCTTTAGCTAATTTTTAAGGGTATTTAGTTTGGAAAGTACAACAAATTAGTAAATGGATTAACTCTTGAAACTTTCTACAAAACAGTAATTTATGGAATTGTTGCAAACATTTTCAGTTGCATGTAGAGGACTTTATGAGAGATTTATTATTATTATTATTATTATTTTAACACATAAGTATAGGTACAGGGAGGCACCAAGTACATATGCGCCACACGAATCTCAAGTGATTTGTGTGAGGGCTGTGATACTGCCCGGATGCCCAAACCGAAACAGGTGGTTTTCTTAGGGGGCCACACCCTGAGCCTTTGACCTGAACGTCTGACCCACAAGGCAGTGGAGCATCATAAGGAGATGCAGTCCCATTTTAGCCAGCCGGTGACCAACGATTGGTTCATACACCATTTGTTCCTTCAGGATACTGGAGCCAGCCCATGTGCACCAGTGAGTTGGGATCCGGTTAAAGCGCCGGACATTCGCCATGAGAGATTACCTTCAGTTATCATCAAAAAACCTTCAATAGACAATCTGAAAGGATGAAATACATTCATATCTTATGGTGAGCATGATGTCAGTGGATCATATGATCATAATATATTACTCAATTCACAAAAAAAAAAAAAAAAACTGTGATCATTATAGAAGCCTCATTCACAATATCATTGGACTTCAGTAGTCAGTTCTTATGATTGAAAGTTTAGTCAACAGTGAAGACAAAAGAGTGATGGGAAAATTAATAGAGAAACCAAAGTACATGTGGAGACTGAAGAGAAAGTCTCAAAACTAATGTATTATTTATATGGAGATTTTGTTTAGTTGGTAAACGACTGAATCGAAGTGAATCAGTTTTACACTACTTAAATGACTTTTTAGTAGTATAAACCAAAAACCATAAAATAGAAGTTTAAAAGGTAAACACTATCTCACTTAGAATAATTTGTAACACTCAGTATAGATTTACCTAACAGTTGTATTTTCAATTTTTGTATACTTAATGTTTGGGAGTAGAGTAAATAATTAAGAGGAAAAAGGATACTTCTTTACTGATTAAGTGGCACTATCAGTCAGTCAGTCAGTCAGTCAGTCAGTCAGTCAGTCAGTCAGTCAGTCAGTCAGTCAGTCAGTCAGTCAGTCAGTCAGTCAGTCAGTCAGTCAGTCGGTCGGTCGGTCGGTCGGTCAGTCAGTCAGTCAGTCAGTCGATCAGCTACAATGTAGGACTATACTGTATGTTCATTTGATGGATCATCTTTCTCAATGTTAAATATAACTAATCACTTACTCGATCTTTACCATAATCACTAAACATTAATCGATGATGTGGATCTGTTTGTGTAGCACCAAGACATGCTTGTAATAGTTTAACATATTCACGTCTCCATTTAAATCCTTCCATGTTTAAACGTTGTATGTACCTTGGAAAAAAATTAAACATTATTAAAAGAATGTCATCAATTTAGGGGTTGTGGAGAGTGTCAAGTTTTTGATTGAGATCATGAACCAATTGATGTTAGACCACCATTGAGAACCAGGAAGCACTGGATGGCCGTTTCGTTCTATTGTAGGACTCCTTAGCAGTGCGAATCCGCGATCCCGCTCGCAGGATTTGAACCCAGGGTCGTTGGTCTTGCGCGCTAACTCTTAATCTACTTGAACCTACTTGCGCGACCATCTTCCATTGTACTGAGGTAGACACCTGTTTCTAACCGACACGATTAGCGGGATCGTGTATGCGCACGGCCGTCCAGTGCTTCCAGGTTTTTAATGGTGGTCTGACATCAATTGGTTCATGATCTCAATCAAAAGAATATCGTTAGGTTTAACTAAAGTACCGAAAATATGACCATCGAGAATGTAACCACATCAAGATCATAACGCACACACCAAACGAAATCAAAGCCTATAATGATCATTAGATACTGAAAATGAGTTTGAATTATTAGGAATAATACTTACCTGCTTGCATAAGAATAAAATGACTGTGTATGAGGTTAAAATAGTATCATTATGATTAGGATTTTAGTCTACGACCAGAGTTAAATTGCATTACTTACTTACTTTACTTTTACTTGTTACCTCTCGTGAGGAACATAGGCCGCTCAACAGCATTCTCCATTCAACCCTGTACCAGACAATTCTTTCCAGTTCTTTCCTGTTGCTATTCATCCTTTTCATATCTGCTTCCATTTCCCGATGCATTATGTTTTTCGGACTTCCATTTTTCCACTTCCCTTCAGAATTCCAAGTGAGGGCTTGCCTCTTGATACAGTTTGGTGATTTCCGTAATGTATGTGCTTTACATTTCCATCGTCTTTTCCGAATTCCCTCTTCAGTTGGAAGCTGGTTTGTTGTCTCCTACAGAAGGCTGTTGATGGTAGTATCCGGTCAATGGATGCTGAATGTCTTGCGTAGATAGCTATTTAAAATACTTATACCTTCTTGATGATGGTTGTAGTAGTTCTTCAAGTTTCAGCTCCACACAGTAGAACTGCTTTGACTTTCGTATTGAAGATTATGACTTTAATATAAACTTGAAGACAGTTGATTTTAGTTCCGTATGTTCTTCAAATGTAGGAATGTAGCCCTTACCTCTCCAAATCTTGCATTTACGTCTGCATCCGATCTTTCTTGTTCATTAATGATGTTTCCCAAGTACGTGAAAGATTTCGTATTTTCCAGAGTTTGTCCATCAAGTGTGATTGGATTGGTGTTCTTCGTGTTTTCTTTGAGGATTTCGCTTTTTCCTTTGTGTATACTCAGGCCTACTAATGCATAGGCTGCTGCTGCTACATCAGTTTTCTCCATCTGAATTTGTTCGTGTGTACGGGATAGAAGGGTCAGGTCACCTGCGAAGTAAAAATTGTCTAACCGATTCTGAGCTGTCCATTGTATTCCATGATCCCACTCAGATATCAAGGTTTTCATAATCCAGTCGACCACCAACAGAAAGAAGTAGGGCGAGAGTAAACAACCTTGTCTGGCTCCAGTTCTAACTTGCGATGCATTCGTCAACTATCCTCCATGCACAACTTTAAACTGTAGTCTGTCGTATGAATTCCGTATGATGTTGACGATTATCTCAAGTAAACCATCGAGTCAAAGTTATCATAAAGTCCTCAATTTTCCCAACCTTCTGCCGTCAGGCATTCCAATCTCGATTAATAATGTATACATACTACTTATATCTATCAACATCAGTAGCATACACACCACAGTAGCTTTAAAAGACTTCAAAAATATCCTTTTCCATACTAATCCTTTAGATGATATCGGCCACTATTAGTAATAATCGTAAAATATTACATCATTTGTTTTATATTAAATACTTACTTGGACATTTTATTTGAATGATCAGTAAACATATACTTGATAGAAGCTAATTCACGAATTTCTGTTATCAAGAATTGATTCTTTCTATTTAGAATTCTTTGTTTTTGTTCATAATCTTCAATCATATCTCTTAATTTATTGGCTGAAATATTTTTCGGTCTAGAATTCAATGAAATGAGTAAAGAAATAATAAACTACTTATAAGTAGTTTATGTAAAATAAGTAAAATGTGAAAACTACAAAAGTTACATTGTGTCAGTTATATTGTAGTGAACGAGAACATACAAATGGAGACAATCTCTATTTTTGTTTAAATTCAATATAAACCTACTGATGGAAGTAATGTTCATGTTGATTAAACATTTGGGTATTGATGTTCTATTAGGAGGTCCATTTATCGACATAGAATACGCCGATGATATAGTCTTGTTTGGTGAAGACATTGATAAAATGCAAAGTCTTTTGATAGAACTAAGCAACAATGCCAGAATTTTTGGAATGAGTTTCTTCTCCTATAAATGCAAGTTGTTGTTTCACAACTGGCCTCCGTTAACAATTGAATTAAAGATAGGGAGTGAAATAGTCGAAAGCGTTGACAATTTCACTTATCTTAGATGTTTGATCAACCCTAATGGGTTGGTGTCTGATAAAATCTCTACACAGATTGGAAAAGCTCATTTGATTTTTGCCAAATTACGTCATCTATGGCAAAGATGAGATATCCGTCTATCAACTAAAGGACGAGTATTCTTTGTAGCAGTTCCTTCTGTTCTAGTTTACGACTGCAAAACATGGCGATTAGCAGCAGATATTCGTAAGCCACTAGTATTTAACCACAGATACCCTGGAAATATTGCTCGCATCTACTGGAATCACCAGCCAAGTAATGATGAGGTTAGATGCAGGGTATTGAGAAATGATGATAAATCAGTTGGTGAGGTTGTAAATCTTCATCGACTGAGATGGTTAGACCACGTGTTACGTATGCCTGTCTGAACAACGATTACGACGACGTGTAATGCTGGCTAGTGTTGAGGATGACTAGAAGAAAGTTAGGGGCGATCAAACTAAAACTTGGCATCAGTGTTTGAAGTCAATAACATGTAGTCTGGGTCATGCTGATAAATGCAGACTACTTGGTTGGAGTCCGTGTGACTATCGTAACGAATGGTTGGAGACTCTGTGTGGCATAGCTCAGAATCTATCACAAGGGGATCGGTGTATACACTCTCTGTCTTCCCTTAAACCGTGATATTAAAATTGCTTTATATTTTTCTTTCTACGAACTGACTTTTTCTTACTGTACTATATCCTTATACACAATTTGTCTTCCATACATTACTACCATTGAAGTGTGTGCTCTTTGAATTTGGTGTCCATCTTGTGCCAATGAGGTGTGGCAACTTGTACCGATGTATATATGTGCCTAGTCCTGCATTTAAGCTGACTGACTAATTGATTGAACAGAAAGTCTTAGTAAAATCTAAGAACCATACAGTTAATACTTTGTTTTCAGAATGTCAAACAGTCCTCTTAGACTTCATTGTTCCTTTGTTTCCACAGCAATCATTGTCTATTCTCGTTCTCTTTTCTTTGATCTTCTTAAGCTTCCATCACCAGTCATTTCACTTTTGATTGATGATACACACTACTTATATCTATTGACATTAGTAGCACACACCACAACACGTTTATATTTTTACCGTCTATTTATTAAAGACTTAATTTCTGTAATTTTTATATTTAGCAGTATGGGGTTGTAGAGATTATCGACCAATTGATTGAGATCGTAAAATTGTTCAATGTGGGTACAAGAAGGTATTAAAAATAGATATGCACTACATAAATCATTCGATTTGTGTGTGGGTGGTGACACAATCCGGGCGCTTAGACTAAAGCAGGTGGTCCCCTTAGATGATAATATCCGGAGCCTACGACTTAAAGGTCTGATCCACAAAGCAGTGGAGCAGTATCAGGAGATGCAGTACCATGGTAACTGGTCACCAACGATGGATTCACACGCCATTTTTTCCTTTAGAATCCTAGAGTTTATATGCACCATTAGCAGTGAGAATATCTCTGAATATTACTCTTCATATAAACATTCTACAATACTGAAGGTAATAGTGTTTTACTAAGCATTGAAACCTATATCAAATGAATCTATCATTGAACTATTCAAAGAATAACTGACATCCTGCAAGATTAATAGCCAGATAGTCAGTTACATTTATTTATTTATTTATTTCAATACATAGATATTGGTACAAGAAGGCACCAAATACATATGCGCCACACAGATCTCATTTGGTATTTGTGAGAGCTGTGATACTGCCCGAGTGCCCAAACCGAAGCAGGTGGTTTTCTTAGGGGGCCACACCACGAGCCTTCGACCTGAAGGTCTGATCCACAAGGCAGTGGAGCATCGTGAGGACATGCAGTTCAATGGTAGCCAGCCGGTGACCAACGATTGGTTCATACGCCATTTGTTCCCGCAGGATAGTGGAGCCAGGCCATGTGCACCATTGGTTTGGGATCCGGTTAAAGCACCGGACATTCGCTTTTCGTCCTCTCATTTTCATAAACAACACCCATGGTGCGAGAAGGCAGTGAGTAGGACTTTCCTGGCGGAGGCTATATACGCGTGGCCATGTGAGAGTATTTCGAGAGAGAGAGAGTGGACTCTCCCCACTCTCGGCCGTACCAGGGCATTCGGGGGCCAGGCACATATTTGTATTGGTCCAAGTTGCCATACCGCATTAGCACAACAAGATGAACACCGGATTCATAGAAGTAGTTAATTCAATGGTAGTAATATATAAAAGAAAGATTTTGTATAACGATATAGTACAGGAACAAAGAATTAGTTCGTGAAAGCAAGATATGAATCAACCTTAATCTCATAGTTTAAGGGAAAACAAAGAGTGTATACATTGACACTATTATGGTGGATTTTGAGCCATTTCACTTAGAGTCTCTAACCATTGGTTACAATAGTCACGCGGACCCCTAAACCAAGTAGCCTGTATCTACCAACATAGTTTAGACTAAACGTTAGTGACGTGAAGCACAATAATTGGTTACCAAGTGGTAATCAACACTGTGTTGTTTAGTCTTTATTCTATATGAAATTCTACAGATCTTCAGCAATACCTTTTATGATATATTCAGTTTACTGGATATTCAATACTAATTTCATGAACTCTATCTTCTTCAATAGTTTCATTGATTTAAAAGAAGAACCTATTTACTTACAATTTAAATGATGAATTATCATTCATTTCTGTATTTTCAATATTTTCTACTTTTTGATCAATTTCACGTATACCAGCTTCACGATTAGATAACATTTGACGTAATGATGCTTCACGATCTAATGATGATTGTAATTGAGCTTTTAATTCTCTAGAAAATTACAAAAAAAAAAAAAGAAGGAAGTATTTATTTGATGAATCAAACTGTAATTTCAATAGTTGACATTATGAATCAATTCAAGTTAGATCACCATGGAAAATCTAGAAACACTAGACGACGTTTGTGGTACTTCCTAGCAGCACGCATCCACGATCCCACCGCTTTCAAGAAATTCGAAACCATGATCTATTAGACTTACGCATGAGTGCTTAATCATCAGATCACTGAACTGGATGGCATTCAACAGTGTTCATGTTTAAATGCAGCCAATCCATGAATGAAGCTGTACTTATTCCTGTGTTGTTTTTTTTTTTTTGATGAAGTTTTATTCTTTGAGCTAGACAGTTTGATCATTGAGCTTTCATTGTTTTTTTGAACGACATCATCATCAGAACAAACTTCAAGTAGAAATGAATTATTTGAATTTGTTCACATGTGGTTTACAGCTTGTCTGGAAGATCTCGATGTTAATTAGTTCTTGTTGAGCTTAAATTTGTCATTGTTTAGTTTTTTTGTTTTTGTTTTGGTTGTATCTTCCATTGATATATTTGTCTGTGATTGTTCCCATCAATTGATAAATTGGATCGATTTCAATATGTTTGTTGATTGGTGAATGAGCTGATTGTCTTTATCCAAGATCTCAATATTCTTCCAATTGAATGTATGACCGCGCTTGTCCACATGCATTGATATATCATGACGTTTGACCAGGCGAACATTCAGAGGGCGTCCACTTTGTCCGATGTAATGTTTGTCGCAATTGGAACAATTTGATGTTCGATTTTTCTTATGTCAAATCTAATCACTTATAAGATTACCTATACGTCGAATCAAACTGTCGTATGTTAGAATGAAACATCTGTGTACATATTAATCTTTTCTTTTTCAGTAACTCTTCAATAAATATCAGATATCAGAAGGGTTTTTGTGGATAATATAGTAATTTCAATAGTTGAGATCATGAGTGAATTGATGCTAGACCACCATCACGGAACACCTGGAAGCACTGAACGGCCGTTTCGTCTTACTGTGAGAATTCTCAGCAGTGTGCATCCACGATCCCACCTCGTGAGATTCGAGCCCAGGATGTGTCAGTTTCGCGCTCGAGCACTTAACCAACTAGACCACTGAGCCGGCATCCAACGGTGTTAATGTCTAACTTCAACAAATCCACGAAATCGGGCGACACGTCCACCATTGTCTTCAAAGAGTTACTACCTCATGTCAGACCTGGTTCAACTCTACTGGTCACTACTTCTCACTAGAACTCCAGGATATACCTCTTGAAGACCGTCACTAGTGAGCATATATGGATTCATATCAAAAGGAGTTTTTGTGGATATTAAAGTGATTTTAATGGTTTAGATCATGAGTCAATTGAAGCTAGACCTCTATAGAAAACCTGGGGGGGGGTATCGTGGATGCGTACTGCTGATGTGTTCCACACTAGGACGAAACAACCATCCAGTGCTTTCAGGTTTCCAATGATAATCTAGTTTCAACTCAAAAGAAATCATTAAACACTTTACCTTATATAATCATTTGGTGATAATTCATTTTCTATATCAATATCACTATCACTAAATGTTCGAGGATTTTGAAGTATTATTGAACTTTGATATTTTGCTGATAATTGATTTGTTGAATATTCACCAGTTGATATTTGTTGTCCTGGATACTGTCGTTCAGATGTTTCGTGAGGATCTATGATAATTTATAACAATAATAACACAATAAGTAAGGGTAAACGATTACCATAAGAGATTGTTGTTAGTAGTAGATTGTCAAAAGGTTTGTTGAAAGTTGATCATACAGGGCTAATTCCCTCCTCAAATACTCTTGGATTCATCTCAAAAAAAAGCCTTAAGAAGAATGAATGTAGAAGAGATAAAAGACAAAAAAGCAAAGCGGTACAACCTTCAATAGTGATGGATTGCAAGAGGAATGCGGTAATCAAGTTTCAGGTAGACCCGTTGAAAAATGTCTTACACAAGAGATTTTAAAGAGGGGAGGTGTGAGGATGACCTAAGGAAGCTCTAAGAAGCTTTAAAAAAGCCGAAAATATTCTATCCAATCATCTATTGGAAGAATCTCTATGTGTAGCTTCCTAATTGAACAAATACGAAAAACCTAAATATGACTTAATGGCATATATGCATACTGTGTGTATTGCCTCGATATTGTCTTAATTCAGTCCTAAACATCAATGGGAAGATTCAAGTAAAACAATACAAAGTCAATTAAACTTCACCCCATTGCACAATCAAATAGCTATCGGGACTGACGAGCTGAATGAATAACGTGATGGTGTTTGAAACGGATGATACTGGGTTCGAGTCCCAGAATGAACACCAACTCAGATGCAAGTACATCCAGCTGGCAAGTCCCAAATGGGATGAGACGCACGTCCTGGATTTCACTGCTAGCCACTATCCATCTAGATATAACAGTTTGTTACCTTGAATTATTCTGATATCGATTTGATTTATGTCAACATTTTTGCATCAAATAGACTTGAGATCTTCCAGAATCTAAAATAGTTTCATCTGAGATAAATTATCAATCGCATAATGATTCACCTTATATTTCAATCTATTTCGTTACATATTTGGAATCAATTTCTATCAGTTAATCACTCACTGAATTATATTTAAAGGAGTGGGGATGGAAACTTGAAGAACTACGAAAGCCATCATCTAAGAGATACAAGTTGTCTACGCAAAATATTTTCAGTCCATTGTATAAACACTATCAACAACAAACTACTGTGGGTAAGAACAAAACAGATTCTAGTGGAGGAGAAGAATTCAGGAAGAAGTGTTGAAAGTGAATAGAACACACATTGAGGAAAGCAATCAACTACATCACAAGGCAAGCCCTTACATGGAATCCTCAAGGCTAAAGGAGAAGTGGAATACTAAAGAACATATTACGCTGAGAAATGGAGACAGATATGAGAAGAATAAAGAACAATTAGGTAGAAATAGAAAGAAAGGCTGAAGACAGATCGCGTTAGAGAATGTTGATTGGTGGCCTATTCTCCATTGTGGGTAACAAGCGTAAGTAAGTAGGTAAGTAAGTAAAATGATCATTCCGCTATGTTATGATAATCTTCAAAAGAGATCATAAGTTTGGTCAAATTTAAGGAAAATATTCTGTACTCGTCTACGTATTAAATATTACTTAATACATTGACAGTAAGTTCCTATTATTCAAAAGAGATTAGACTGACTACCTGGTTAGCGTAACCTGTTTCTATAATCAAATGTTACCTAATAATGTCCGCCTACATAAATTCCTTAAGTTTTGATGATAATTCATAACCTATAGAGTTTAATCATAAACGTAAACCAGATAGTCATTGAATAGACGAAGTTCTACTGTTGACTGTACAGAAGTGTGACAGCAGTAAGATGTTTCCTTCAGACAAACAATATAACAGTGATGTTGCCTTCTCATAAAGAGGGGTGGGATTAGAAAAGGTCGACCGTAAAAATACACATCTCGCTCTATCCCATGGATATTCGTCTCCGACGGTAAGATCCCAACAATTACGGATCTAACACAAAAATTACCTACAAAAAGTTCGTGTGCGACCGACCTCAATCAGTTGTCTCTTGGGCACTGTGGTCAAACTCTCAGAACACTCAAATCATATCTAACTTAATTTCCTTATCAGATTTCTCCAGAAGATGCCTTCTATGTTTTAGGCAATCGGGAAGTGATAATCGCCATTCAAAACTGAATCATTGAGTAGGAATAGGCTGAAGATGAAAATATGGACTGATATTAACTTATAACTGAAATCATCTATACATAAATAGTTGAAGAGATAATAAATAAATTATTGTGGTGTATACTACTAAAATCGATAGATATAAGTAGTATGTATCATCAATTGAAAGTGAAAAGAGAAAAGAACGGAACTAAAACAAAGAGAATGATTAGTGAAGAAAACATGAACTAGTCAAGTCTGAGACTGTTCTTTTGTATTCATATACATTTAGTTGTCACCACTTCTATTCTTGTACTGTTATATCTAGAAATGGTTGATTTACTTGATATAACGCGTACAACTGAACACATGAACGCCCAAACCCTTCCAAGTCGCAAAGAGAAGACAGAAGACTAGTGAAAGGAATGTTATTCCAAACAGTGTCAATTATGCGTACAAATTGTCAGGTATTTATAGTTTTAGTAAGAACAAAAATTATCATTCTAGTCCTTCAATCCGCATACAGGGGGTTATTAGCCTTGTCCAATCGGGAAGCTACACGTAGGGATTCTAGAATATTCTTACTAACGGTGATTGGATGGAATATCTTCGGCTCCTTCTAAGTCTCTTATAGCTTCCTCGAGTTTACCCGTGGTCCGTCGTCACATGTACACTATAATATGGATTGAAATCATGAATTGATTGATGTTAGATTATCATTGAAGACATGGAATCACTAGACAGACATTTCGTCCTATTATGGAACTCCTCAATAGGTGTGCTTTCACAAAACTTGCTCATGAGATTTGAACCCAGAGTTGTCCAGTGCTTCTAGGTTTTTCATGGTGATCTAACATCAATCGGTTCATGATCTCAATCAATAAATTAATGATCTTCATAACCTCAAATACTGACACGACAATATTTCCTTTAAACAATCAATATATTTATATAACATAATAGAAGATACATGTAGAATTAACTGATTCATCTTTGTAATTTACCTTCATTCATTTCTGTATCACCGAAAAATTTATTATCTAATTAATAAAACAAACATATAGAATAAAAATGTAATTTATATCAATGAATAAGACAAATATACAATGATCCTAGTATGTGATATATATGAATGCTATCAAATGCTCTGGTATGATCGAGAGGGAGGAGAGTAAGCTCTCACTCTACGATCCACTACACTAGTCACCAATGCAGTTCAAATAGGTCTGTTGAGAGATAGTAATTCATTGAAGAGAATGGTGAACGGTGGCACAATTCTGCGGATTGGTTGAAATTAACGCTATTAGATGTCAATTCAGTGGTCTATATGTTAAGCGAGGGGGACCGATAGGTCCTAGGTTCGGACCACACAAGCGAGGTCATGGATGCGCACTGCTCAGTAGTCCCATATTAGGACGAAACGGCCATCCAGTTCTTTCAGGTTTTCAATGGTGGTCTAGCTTTAATTGACTTATGAATTCAATTATCAAATTAATATAATATCCACAAAACCTCTCTCTAATAAAACTCATTTATTTCTGACAAAGAAAGAAAATAACTGACACTTAACTCGGAACGTAGTTTAGTTTCCTTTTTTAAATCACTATCTATACTTTTACTACAACTACTACTACTACGACTACTACTACTACTACTACTACTACTACTACTACTACTTTTACTACTACTAATACTACTACTGTGGTGTGTGCTACTTATGTAGACATAAGTAGTATATGATGTTAGTCGTGAACAGAATGTCTGGCAGCAGAGACACAAGAAGATCGAACAGTGAAGAATGAAAACACAATGCAATTTGTATGAAAATACAAGAACAAAGGAAGTCTGAGTCATTTGAAACAATTGATGAACATTTTACAAATTGAGCATTTAATTGTTGTCAAATATATTCGATTGTTACCCACTGATGTTCTTGTTCACTACACTATCACTGTAAAGAATACAGACATAAGTAGTATGTAGCTGGAATCTGTAGTAGAATGTTCACCAATGGAAGGGGTGAAACATAGAGAAAAGGGAAGGAAAACAGAAAGTAATCGGAATAAAAGCAGAATTTGAAGGATAATGGACTATGTAAAGGACAACTCTTAGAATGATATGCAAATGATGTATTGAATGTACGATACATATATTTTTACAAAGGTACTGAATTTCTGTTCCCTACGCAACTATTATTATTATTACTAATACTAACACTAATATTAGTACTACTATTTATTTAATTTATGTGAATCTACCTGTGCTGAGGAGTCCCACAATAGGACAAAAAAAGCTGTCCAGTGCTTCCAGGTTTTCCATGGTGGTCTAGCTTCAACTGACTCATGATCTCAACTATCCATAAAAACCACTTCTGATATGAATCCACATATGCTCACTAGTAACTGTCTCCAAGAAGTATTTCCTGGAGCTCTAGTGATAAGCAGTGATCAGTGGTGTTCAACCGGATCTGTTGTGAGATAGTAAGTGACTGAAGACAATGGTGGATGTGTTACTCAATTTCGTGGATTAGTCGAAGTTAGACGTTAACACCGGTCACCTCAGTGGTTTAATGGTTAAGCGCTCGCGTGCGAGACTGTTGGGTCCTGGTTTCGAATCTTGCGAAGTGTGATGGTGGATGTGCACCGCTAAGGAGTCCCACAATATTACGAAACGGCCGTCCAGTGCTTCTATGTTTTCTATGGTGATGGTCTAATCTCAACTGACTCATGATCTTAACCATTGAAATTAATAAATCTTTACCTATTCTATTCATGTTCACACTTTAATTTTCTACCAGGTTGATTCCATGACATGATTCATAATCGATCAAAAATGGTATAAATGCATTCAATCTCTGCTTACATAAGTTTTTCCATCTTAACATTATCGTATGCTTTCTATTCTATGATATCATTCTTCCTCTTTGAAATTATACCACATGTCTTGTACTCTTATTGATACTGTCACAACTTCTACTACTATTATTGACCTTTAGAATTTCTTATCATCGTTTAGCAACTTGGTTAGATGTACATATACACCAGCATCTACTGACCAATTTAGTGATACCATCAGTTAGTAAATAAAATTTCTTGAAGTAAAGGAATTGTATTTAGGTCAATACACAATTACACTGCATGATATATATGAGGTATTTGAAGCTGATCGGCGGCCTATGCTCCATCGGGAGTAACAGGTGTAAGTAAGTAAGTAAGTATTTGAAGCTAACAAGCTTTGATGAATTCTAACACATGATTCAAGACGATCTTGCTATATGCATTATCGAAAATAAACCAAATATCATAATATCTTATATGTATGCATAGAAACGTTTTTTTCTATATCCATAGATATCTCTTTTGGTCACTAGTAACAACAAGATACAATCGATAGAGCAAATCGATAAATGCAAATTACCAACTTACCATTTCTTGATATCATGTTATAATTTTCTTTCTCTGTTTGATTAAACTCGTTGGACGCTGTGGAATTGGCATTCGCTGAGAAATATATGTATTTTATATGCAAGAAAAGATGTTAAACAATGATATATGTATTTACACGGAACTGAATTATGATGATGATAAAATTAAGAAGCTTAAATCCACTTCCTTCTTTCACTCATTTTTGCTTACTATTTTATACTACTTATTTTATATTCAGTAGCCAAAAACGTTACTCTTCAGAACTTTACACTTGAAAGATTACGGCGAGAACATAATTTAATGGGAGAATCAATCAGGAGTAAATGTATAATTTCAGGGTCACGGAGATTATTTAATTACTCAATGCCTACGTATGATCGGTTTACAGCGGATTTCAAGGAACTGGTTATAGTTGAGCGGCTATAAGAAATTGGCTTACTAAGAAATCCCTTTATTTATGATTGCAGTATTTAAATGACTGTTGGACATTTTGCAGACCTTTGTGACGATGTTGTATTTGGATGTAATACTTGATAGAGAAAATAGTCTTCTAGAACAGGGACTTTTTTCACTCGATTCCGATTGACACTAAGATGAGTTATGATAATTGTTGCAAACTGGATAATAAACGCGCTAGTAACACTGGTTGCAATCTTTGCAGATGTTACTGAAGCTTTACTAATTCACTGGTATGAATGCTGTCGAGATATATGTGCAATGAAAATGACAAGCTTGAATCAGTCGTTTGAGAGAATCGTAAAGATAGACGAAATAATTGTTGGAGAACCTGGATTCAATAGAGGAAGGAGTGTTTAAGAAGACTGGGTAGGCAGTACTTCCTTACGTATACTTAGCAGCTCTTTGGTATAAATGATATATCATTTTAAAAAGGATACTTCCAGCGTGTGAGAAAACGACAGGCTACAACGAAAATACTAAATATACGGAAGAGTGTGCAGTTGGGTACCACAATATACACAGATAACTGGAGATAATATCGATACCTATCTAGAGTTGGTTACGTGCATCGAATGGTCGTTCACAAACGAAATTTTGTAGACCCCACTACAAGAGTACACACCAATAATATAGAAGCAATGTAGTCGGGACTAGAATACTTTTTACGACTTTATTATGGATACAGAGGTCGACTATTATGGAGTCACAAGGATGAGTTCCTGTACCATATTTATTACGAATTCAGAACTGCTGAGTCATTTTCTAACCTAGAAAAACTTCTAAACTATGTTAATTTCTTGATATTGATACTCAGATCAATTCGAATGGCCAAATAGAAAGTTCTATTTGGTGAAGACGCTGACAAAATGCAGAGTCCGCTGACCACTCTAAGCAACAATGCAGGCATGTTTGGGATGCGATTCTCTCCCTCGAAATGTAAAATGTTGCTTCAGGATTGGGTTGCATCGGCACCCGAACTAGTGATAGGGAGTGAAGTTGTTGAGCGTGTCGACCGCTTCGCTTATCTTGGAAGTCTCATCAACCTTTGTGGTCTGATGTGTGACAAAATCTCAGCACGGATACAGAAGGCTTGACTAGCTTTTGCCAACTTGCGTCATTTGTGGCGTAGGCGAGATATCCGTCTAGTAACCAAAGGACGAGTTTACTGCTCAGCAGTTCGTTCCGTCCTGCTTTATAGTAGTGAAACATGGCCGGTAAGAGTAGAGGATATTCGTAGGTTACTAGTATTCGATCATAGGTGTCTTCGAAACATTGCTCGTATATCCTGGGACCACCGAGTAAGTAACTCAGTTGCGAGGAAACGGGTACTAGGTAAGGATTGCAAATCAATCGGTCAAGTAATGAAACTTAATCAGTTGAGATGGCTGGGACATGTGTCGCGCATGCCAGACCACCGACTGCCACGACGTGCGATGTTTTGTGGTGTAGAAATAGGTTGGAAGAAAGCTAGGGGCGGCCAGACCAAAACATGGCACAAATCCATGAAGTCACTGGCAAGTGAACTGAGCCATGTTGTTAGATGTAGACTACTTGGTTGGGGACCGCGAGATGATGGCAACCGATGGTTAGAGACCTTGAATGACATGGCTAAAAATCGTTTGCAATGGCGCAGGTGCATCCACTCTTTGTGTTCTCCCAAACTCTAATCTGTATTCTGCATGTCCTTTATTTTCTTTCCAAATATATTACACTGGACTATACTCCTTAAATAATATCATCAAACCTTAACGTTTCCTGTCACTACTTATACTTTCACTACTCTACCACTACGGGATTTGAGATGATAACTGAATCTTTGTGCTAATGTGGTATGGCCACTCGAACTGATGTACGTACGTACGAAGTTCCACATTGTTTCTAACTGACTGACTGACTCTCTTCATGAAAAAGAGACCTAAAGTGAACTTAATTTGAGTTTCAATAGTTTCTGTTTGATAATCTACAAAAAAGCTTGGATCAGAACATTGATTATTCATATATATTTAGGAGTGAAAACCTGTTAGCACTGGACGGCCATCTCGTCCTAATATGGGGCTCCTCATTAGTGCGCATCCACGATCCACTCAACTTGTCACCAGTGGAGTACAACTAGGTCTGTTGAGAGATAGTAACACACTGAAGACAATTGTGGAAGGTGGCTCAATTTTATGAATTGGTTAAAATTAAACATTAACACCATTAGATGTTAACTTAGTGGTCTAGATGTTAGGTGCGTGGGACCGACATGTCCTCGGTCCGGAACCGGTGAGCGAGCTTGTGGATGCGCACTGCTGAGTAGTCCCATATTAGGACAAAACGGTCATCCAGTTCTTCCAGGTTTTCCACGGTGGTCTAGTTTTAATTGACTCATGAATTCAACTGTCATAATTATTCCTAATTTACTACCGTTATTCTCCCAATCTTCATTGTTATTATCTCAAGTATATACATCAGTTGTAATCAATTATTGAAAATGTTTCTGTTATTAGTAGCTGAGGAGAAGCCACGAAACAAGTGAATAAACCTTATCCCGCTACGTTTGGAATTGTAGCTTTATTTAAATGAAAAGTATTAACTGAGATGATTGTAGCAGTGAAAGCAGTAAAATCCAAGATACGCATCTCGTCCTATTTGGGATTTGTCAGCTGGATCTGCCTGCATCCCAGAGTTATCCACTCCGAGACTCAGTAGCCAAGTGAATAACACGATAATGTTTAGGTCGATCAATACTGTGTTCGAGTCCTGAAGTGAACATCAACTCTGGTGTGCAGGTGCATCCAATGAACTTGTCCCTAATAGTTTGAGACTTGCATCCTGGATTCCACTGTTAGCCAACATCATCTCAGCTTATAATGCTTGTCAATTAAGACAATATCAAGATAATCCGCACAAGATTCACATATATCAACAAGATACTAATCAATTGAATATATTGTGCACTATGTTGAGATATTAAGTGATTGATATTAGTCGGTAAGAAACCTTGATATGTTTATTGTGTTACATTTAAGATTGTGAAGCTGAGATAGTGGAGAAAATTTGTAGCTCAGATGAGTAATTTTGATGGAGTTTTGTTCTCTGAGCTGGATAATTTAAACGTGGAACTTTCATCGTTCTTCTAAACAACATCATCAGATGAGAGAGCAAAACTCCATCAAAAACTATGAAGCTGGTTGTCTCTGATTCGAATCCCACAAGTAGCATCAAATCCCTTGAGATTATAAGTTGACCTTGTTGATATATGTAAGATAACACGAATTTGAGGTCAAGGGTAGACTTCCGACTATTTACAACCAACTAACATGTATATATATATATATTACTTATAAGCGTCTATCACATGAAGTCACAACAAGAAATGTATTGATACTCAGTATTAAGCACATGTACATGTAAAATAAACATACACATTTTTCTAGATTCTCCATTAATCTCCCCTGCTAAGTTTGAATCACTCCCAATTAGATTGTTTTGTGCTGAAATAGAAGATAATAATAAGATTTAATGGGAATTGAAGAGAAAAATTGATTATGAATATAGTGGTCTTGAGTGTTGTTAAAGGTATGAGGAGGGTTATCACTTCTTGATTGCCTACACCATGGAAGGGTTCTCGTGGAGGTACCTGAATAGAAAATTAGGTTAGAGTTGGTTCTTAGTGATCTGAGAGCGTGATCGTAGTGTCCAAGGAACAACTGCTTGAGGTCGGTCACACATGAACTTTTTGTGGGTAATATTCGTGTTAGCTCCGTAATAGTTTAGACCTTAACACTAGAGACGGATATCCATCGGATAAGACGAGGTGTGCATTTTTAGGATCGACCATTTCTAACTCCTATCCTCGTTGTGGGAAGGCAGCATCGATATTATGCTGGTTGTGTGGAGGAAACACCTTACTGCCGTCACACCTCTGTACAGTCAGCAGTACGACTTTGACTTCGGACCATGGGCTTGTTGCTTTTAGTCTTACTGTTCTTCAACCAACCTGTCTGCATTATAGAACCTTGAGGAACGATTTTTCCAGACAGTATAACTTGATTGTTTTATCACGATAGGCAAGTCCGACCACCACGTCAAGGTAGCAACAATGGTCGGACAAGGCTTAACATATTCCTCGATTTACAGAATCTAAAAATACTTAGGTTATATGAGAAAATCTAATCTGTCTTAAGATTCAAGAATGAAATCCAACTTATGATGGTGGAGTTTTGTTCTCTGAGCTGGATGATTTGGTCGTGGAGCTTTCATCGTTCTTCTAAACGACATCATCAGCACAAACTTCAGGTAGACTTCTATCTGACTTTTATCTGAAGTTTGTGCTGATGATGTTGTTCAAAAGAAGGCTCCACGACCAAACCATCCAGCTCAGAGAACAAAACTCCATCAAAATCATCCACCTGAGCTATAAATCTTCTCCACCATCTCGAAATCCAACTTAGCTATCCTGTCATCTACTAATCAACTATGGTAGAACACACAAGTGCCTAGTCATACATAAACATACATAAACCCTTATAATTTAGACTACAATAAGCAACAAACGACTATCTTCTATTGACTTACGTATCAGTTCTTCTTTTTGTTTATTGTCTGATAAATTGTCCAGGACTTTCATTGTTGTCCTCAACTGGTTACGATTCTCTCCATCTGAAAAAAGTTTAGAAACGATGTTGCATTTAACAATAGACATGAGTTAGATCTAAAGGTAGATTATAACATTGGTAAATTTGAAGGTGCTATCATTTGTAAAGGTTTACTGTTCCTAATACATAGGATTGATATGGGAAGTTATGGATCTTTACAATTAGCAGTCAAAGGCATAGCCTTTGAACAATTTGATAGCTATCTTGACTAAGTAGACTAATAGATGATTTAAAAATGATTTGAAGTAGTGTATATCGGATCCGATCAGAACAAAAGACTTTACGAACGTCAAATTAAAAGAATTCATACAATTATCGGTTGGTAAAGATTTCACATGCTAACCGGATAGGATTCATGGTAGTTACGTGAAGCAGGTTAAATTCCTACAACAACCATCGGTCCTAGAAGACAAGCATTGACTAGCAGCATAATCTAGACCCACGCCTTTCAGTTAGTTAGCATGAACCACCAAACATTTATATTCTGAAACATCTACCGCTATTTTCTTTGGAACAATAAGAGTTATTTTATTCGTTCTCAAATCGATACTGTTGTTTATAAAATTGAGAGGATGGAAAGCAAATGTCCGGTGCTATAACCAGGTTGGTAGATATGGGAAATTCACGTAGGTGAATTAGAAAACCCTGCTTCCAAACCAATGGTTCACATGGTCTCCATGGTACTGAAGAAACAAACGGCGTGTGAACCAATTGTTGGTCACTGGCTACCACGTTTCTCCATTGCCTTGTGGATCAAACCTTTAGGTCAAAGGCTCTGGATGTTGGGTTTTAAAAAACCACCTCTCTGTGGGTTTGGTCAATCATCTCAAACTTCATTGTTTCTGCATTACCATATCAATTACTTTCTGTTCTTATTCTTTCCTCATCGACCTTCCACTGCCAGATATTCTATTTGTGACTTTACCGTTATATACTACTTATATCAATATATAAATAGATCATGTTTGTTTGAATAGTTTTGAAATATTCTAAGTATTTGATTAAACTAATGAGTAAAGCAATTGACTTGCTTACTTATCTGGAACAGATTATACATTAGAAAGTTAAATTACTATATCCTATGATAATCTTCCTGTATAAAGCAACATTTTGTCCAGTTAATGCATTGATAACATTTCAGATTATGAAACTGGCTAAAGTGTGTTCAAAGACTAAAGTAGGTATCAATCCCCCCCCTCCTAGGAGCATTATTGACATACGTTATTGATAAGGGGTAGATTACAAGAAATGTAAGTTCGGAGTTTTACGATGACTATAACTAACAATATAACATTCATCTGATTTGGATTCATTTGGAACTAAGATGATTTTGGAATAGAATTTGATCAATACTAAATAGCTAAACGAACTATGTCATTGGTCAATAATCAGTCAAAATTGACCAAACCGAAAAAGGTGGTTTTCTTAGAGAGCTACATCCGGAGCCTTTGACCTAAAGGTCTAATCCACAAGGCAGTGGAGCAACTTAAAGGGATGCAATACCATGGTAGCAGGTGACGAACAATTGTTTCATACACCATTTGTTCCTACAGGATCTTGGAGGCATCCCATGTACACCATTGATTTAAAATCAGGTTTTTTTTAACTCTCTGAGGCGGACCCGCTATATCCCCCAACCCGGTTAGAGCGACAGACATCCATTTTTCATCTTCACAATTTCGTAAACACCCCACACCACCACGAGAATATAGTGAGTAAGACTTCTCTCACAGTGATTGTATACACGTAACGATATGAGAGTATTTCGAGAGAGCAATCTGACTATGCCCACTCTCGTACTGTCTACTAACTAGAATCATTTGAAATATTATTGAATACCCCCACCACAAGAATACAATGAGTAAGACTTCCCTCACAGTGGTTGTATACACGTGGCCACTGTCGTACTGTCTACTAACTAGAATCACTTACAATATCATTGAATATCAGTTAACACAAGAAGGTTATATCATTCTAATTTGGAACGCCTCAGTAACACACACACACATACACACACATACACACACACAGAGACACTTCTTGAAACACTTTCATTCAAAATACTCACTTATATTCATTGATAATTGACGATTATAATATAATTTATCATTCATTGAATAATCTTCATTTTCTTCTCCTTCTTCTATTGGTAAATTCATTAGATTACGATGATTAAAAATTCCTTTTGATGATTGATCTATACGTCGATGATAATGATGATGATGTTGTTGTTGTTGTTGTGGTGGTGGTGCTGGTGGTGGTGGTGCTGGTAAATAACTATTGGATCTTGATATAGTTTTTTGATATTTTTCATTCATATTCATATCATTTACATGTTGTTTAACTATCTCTGAATCATATGAACTTGATCGACTATATGATAAACGTTTTCTAGGTTCATTATTGATTGTATTATCGATTGATGATAACCATGATGAATGAAATAAATTTGATGTTTGATCAGATAATTGATTATCATTTATTGGATCTATTATTGATTCTTGTTTTATTAATTTTGTCATTTTCATACTTGTTTTACGTGTTTTTATTGATTCATTGAATGAAGATTCATTAGAATCGGATGATACAATTGGTGATAATCTTGTCTTAAGGATCAAAATAAAAAAAAATCGATTTAAGGGTGTGGGTTTTATTATTTTGTGGATATCATAGTCATTTCAATGATTGAGATTATGAATCAATTGAAGCTAGACTATCGGATGCTGACTAGCTCAGTTGTTTAGTAGTTCAGGGATCATGTGTGAGACTGATAGGTCCTGGATTCGAATCCTACAAGACAAGATCGTGGATGCACACTGTTGAAGAGTTTCATAGTATAATGAAACGGTCATCCAGTGATTCCAGGTTTTCCATGATGGTCTAGCTTCAATTCACTCATGATCTGAACCATTGAGATTAAAGCAATTAGTCCCTTTGATACAGTTAGATAATGTAATAATAAGACGAAAATTATCAGAACTATGTGATGATATAATAGTGCGATACATTCCGAACAATCTGATCATACATAATATACTTGTTAAGAATATTTATATACAATAAAGGTCAACTAGACTGGAAATGGGGGGGGGTAAGAGGGTAAGAGGAGATAAGGATAATAATAAGAGTAAGGTATATTGAACTCAGAACCAATTAGACGATTTGGACTTCGCAGATGACCTAGCCCTCCTATCACATACACACGAACAAATGCAGATAAAGACAGCCAGCGTAGCAGCAGTCTCTGCATCAGTAGGCCTCAACATACACAAGGGAAAAACCAAGGTCCTCAAATACAACGCTTACTTACTTACTTACTTACGCCTGTTACTCTCAATGGAGCATAGCCCGCCGACCAGCATTCTCCAACCCACTCTGTCCTGGGCCTTCTTTTCTAGTTCCATCCAATTCTTGTTCATTTTTCTCATATCTATCTCCATTTCCCGGCGTGATTTATTCTTTGGTCTTCCTCTCCTCCTTCGACCTTGAGGATTCCATATGAGGGCTTGTCTTGTGACGCAGTTCGATGCTTTCCTCAATGTGTGTCCTATCCACTTCCAGCGTTTCTTCCTGATTTCTTCCTCCACTGGGATCTGATTTGTTCTCTCCCACAGTAGGTTGTTGCTTATAGTGTCCGGCCAGCGGATCTGAAGTATTTTGCGTAGACAACTGTTAATAAACACCTGTATCTTTTGGACGATGGATTTCGTAGTTTTCCAGGTTTCCGCCCCATACAGTAGAACTGTCTTGACATTTGTATTGAAAATTCTGACTTGGTGTTGGTTGCTAATTGTTTTGAGTTCCAGATATTCTTCAGTTGTAAATATGCTGCTCTTGCTTTGCCAATCCGTGCCTTCACATCTGCATCAGATCCACCGTGTTCATCGATGATGCTGCCCAATATGTAAAGGTTTTTACATCTTCCAAAGCTTCTCCGTCAATTGTGATTGGATTGGTACATGCTGTGTTGTATCGAAGAATCTTGCTTTTCCCTTTGTGTATATTGAGACCTATTGCTGCTGAGGCTGCAGCTACACTGGTTGTCTTCTCCTGCATTTGTTGTTGCGTATGCGATAGAAGAGCCAGATCATCTGCAAAGTCTAGATCATGCAATTGCATCCTAGCTATCCACTGTATCCCGTGCTTCCCTTCAGATGTTGATGTCTTCATGATCCAGTCGATCACCAGGAGAATGAGAAAGGGTGACAGTAAACAACCTTGCCTGACACCGGTCTTTACTTCGAACGACTTTGTCAACTGTCCTCCATGCACGATTTTGCAGTTTAATCCATCATAGGAATTCTGTATGATATTGACTATCTTCTGAGGCACGCCGTAGTGTCGAAGAAGCTTCCATAGGGTTGTTCTGTCCACGCTATCAAATGCTTTTTCGTAGTCGATGAAGTTGATATAGAGTGATGAATTCCATTCAAGTGATTGTTCCACAATGATCCGTAGAGTTGCGATTTGGTCTGTGCACGATCTATCCTTACGGAATCCTGCCTGTTGGTCTCGAAGTTGGGCGTCTACGGAGTCCTTCATCCTGTTTAATAATACCCTGTTGAAGACTTTTCCTGGTATTGAAAGAAGAGTGATTCCCCTGTGGTTGTCACAGTTGCTGAGATCGCCTTTCTTTGGTATTTTGACTAGAAGTCCTTCTTTCCAGTCTGTTGGTACCTGTTCCTCATCCCAAATCTTTCTGAAGAGAATGTGGAGTATCCTTGCAGTTGCCGCTACGTCTGCTTTCAGTGCCTCTGCTGGAATGCTGTCTAGTCCTGCTGCTTTGCCACTCTTGATTTGTATGATAGCCATGCTGATCTCTTCAATTGTTGGTGCGCCAACATCAATCGGGAGGTCCGTGAGTGCTGTTTCGATGTTGGGTGGGTTCAGTGGGGCTGGTCGATTCAAGAGTTCTTTGAAGTGTTCTACCTCACCTGTTTCGTTGTTCTTCAATGTTGGTGATTATCTTGCCTTCCTTGCTTTTCACTGGTCGTTCTGGTTTACGGTGATTTCCAGAGAGTTTCTTTGTTGTTTCATACAGTTGTCTCATCTTTCCTTCTCTGGCAGCCTTTTCCGCCGTCAATGCCAAATCCTCCACATATTTACGTTTGTCAGTTCTGATGCTCCTTTTCACTTGCTTGTTTACTTCTGTGTATTCAGCCTGTGCCTTGACTTTTTCTGCTCTTGTTCGACTGGTATTGATTGCTGCTTTCTTGTTCCTCCTTTCTTGAATCTTATCCAGTGTATCGACCGTGATCCAATCCTTGTGATGGTGCTTCTTTTGGCCCAGAACTTCATGACATGTTGAAGTGATTGCTTCTTTTATCTCTTTCCAGTTGCTCTCCATAGTAGTTCCTTCTCCATTGAGTAGATCATGAAAGGCTTGGAACTTATTGCTGAGGGTTATCTGAATTTATTGAGTTTGTCATTATCCCGAAGAAGAGCCGTATTAAATTTTTTGTGATATTGTCCTCCCCGTTGTCCAGTGCCTCTTGAGTTTCAATTTCATCTTGGCGACCAGCAAGTGATGATCTGATGCTATATCAGCTTCTCTCTTTGTTCTCACGTCCTCCATCGTCCTCCTGAACTTTTTGTTGATGCAGATATGGTCGATTTGGTTCTGTGTGCTGTGATCCGGTGAAGTCCATGTGGTTTTGTGTATGCGTTTATGTGGGAATATAGTCCCGCCTATGACCAGTTTATTGAAGGCACATAGATTTGCAAATCTCTCACCATTTTCGTTCCTTTCTCCCAGTCCGTGTCGTCCCATGATCTCTTCATATCCGGTGTTGTCAGTTCCAACCTTGGCATTTAGGTCTCCCATCAGAATAGTCAGGTCTTTTGTTGGGCACTTCTCGACGATTGACTGCAGCCTATCGTAGAATTGATCTTTAGCGTCGTCATTGTAGTCGTTGGTAGGCGCATAGCATTGGATGACGTTCATTGTAATCCCCGTTTTCTTGGTTATGAAGGAGGCTTTGATGATCCTTGGTCCATGAGATTCCCATCCTATAAGTGCATTTTGTGCTTGTTTGGACAGCATCAATGCAACTCCTTGTGTATGTGGAGCATTTTCTTGTTCATGTCCGGAGTATAACAGCAGCTCCCCTGAAGCTAGTCGTTGTTGTCCAACTTGCGTCCAATGTGTTTCACTGATCCCAAGCACCTCTAAATTGTATCTCCTCATTTCTGCAGCAATTTGGAAAACTCTCCCAGTCTCCCACATTGTGCGAGCATTCCATGTACCTCAATAAATGGTTGCTCTGGTTGTCAGAAGGGGCATCGGCCTCGTGACTTCCGAAGAAACTCGGCTTTCATCGTGAGGCGTCATAATTCTTCTAAACGAAGACCTTCTGACTCCCAGGGCAGAGTTTAAATGGTTTGAATAATTCTTTCTGGTTAGCGTTTTTTTAGCGAGTTAGTTTTCTACGGGATGGGGTCGCTAACCTCATGCCCAACCCTCCTCCTTTATCCGGGCTTGGGACCGGCAGTAGCCCCCGGAAAGGGGTTCCAGGCGGAGTTCAAATACAACGTGGAGAACAGTAATTCGATCACTCTTGATGGCGAAACCCTGGAAGATGTAGAATCCTTCACATACCTGGGAAACATCATCGATGAACAAGGAGGATCAGATGCAGACGTAAAAGCGAGGATTGGTAAAGCAAGGGCCGCATTCTTTTAATTGAAGAACATATGGAACTCAAAATAACTTTCAACCAATATCATAGTGAGAATCTTCAATACGAACGTCAAGACAGTTCTACTGAACAGAGCTGAAATGTGGAGAACTACAACAGCCACCATCAAGAAGGTACAGTTATTTATCAATAGCTCTCTACGTAAGATACTCAACATTCATTGATCGGATACCATCAGCAACAGCCTTCTGTGTGAGAGAATAAGCCAACTTCAAATTAAAGATGAAATTACGAAAAGACGATGGAAATGGATAGAACATACATTGAGGAAATCATGAAACTGCATCACGAGGCAAGCCCAAACTTGGAATACTGAAGGGAAGCGGAAAAGAGGAAGGTCAAAGAATACATTACGTTGGAAAATAGAATCAGATATTAAAAGGATGAATAAGAATTGGAAAGAGCTGGAAAGGATTGCTTGGCACAGGGTTGGATGGTGAATGCTGGTGAGTGGCCTATGCTCCTTCACGAGGAGTAACAGGCGCAAGTAAGTAAGTAAGTATATTGGGCTCACTACCAAACAACTGAACCAAAGAGTTAGTGAACACCTCCCTTTTTGGTTAGTAAAAACTACAGTCAAGACAATTCATGGCTTGGTTCTATCACACTTGATCGATAGCGGTCATGTAATAAACATAAATAAGTCATTTATCGTATTCCTACTAGTTTTCCTTATGGTGTTCGATCTTGTCTTTTACACATAACAGAAGCTATAGAAATTCCAGTTAACAATCCAAGTCTTTGTGTTCATAAGAAATTTGTAACACCCTTATCTCTTTCTTGACTTTATTTCTTACTATTTTCCATAATCTTTGTCCGGTTATTTTTCTTCACCCCTTTTTCACCTTTTACTTTTCTCTCAAATATTCACTACACCATTCAATTATCTGTAATAGATTACATAACTAAGCATCATTGACTTATAAACTGCCTTGATTAGTTTCATAATGTCTTATATTTCAATAGTTGAGATCATAAGTCAATTGAAGTTAGACCACCATGGAAAACTTGAAAGTGCTAAATATTCGTTTTGTCCTATTATGGGACTCCTCAGCAGTGCACGTCGACGATCACACCTCAGGACATTCGATTTCGTATATGCTTAGAAATATTTCTGTATATTAGAGTAAATTTTAATGAGGATCTAATTGATCGGAATTTTCCAAAGAATAAGAGTAATAATAATAATAATAATATGAAAAACAATGTGAAACCACATCACTCTGAATAATAATCTAACATAACCAGGGTAGGTCTAAGGTGAGAACAAACTGTTCGAATTTTCATATGGCTAAGGTTCGGTAAACCTTAGTATACGCCCTTTTACACTTTTGTACAACACTACAAAAGCTGAGTTAAGATCAATCTTATGACCTGTTTCAATTATATGTTTAGCAATAGAGGATGATGAATGTATATCCTATACTCTTATTAGGTCATTTGACTATAATTATTTCTGCAACCATTTAGGTACATGTTCACACACCCTAATTTTGAGATCATGATTACTCCTCCCTTTTTATGTGTGACAACACCCACACACATGCTTAAATTGGTAAACACAGTGGGATGTGATGCAATCGTTTTTTTTTGTATTTTGGGTTTTCGATGAAGCATGAACCTTGTTGTTTTACAATTGATTGATCACTGGGTGGTGATCAACGTCATGTGTGTCAAGTCCTTATTATTAGTGCAGACCGAATGCTACCAACCAAGTTGCAACGTGGCCACCAGTCTAGGTGACTTGAAACTGGGTTCACTATATTGAGATAAAATGGTGGTTGGAGGTAGTCAAAAGGAAACCCTGGATGCGGGTTTGGTGCTACTTGGCACTCGTCAGGAAGGTGTAACTGTAATCTCGAGGGGACTGATGCTCGCTGACGGATTTGATCCCGTGTCACCCAGCTTCACAGTCAGAGACGTTGCCACTAAGCTATCCGGGTCGCGATCGACCTCCTATAGGACTGAGATTGAATTCATCACGGAGCACCAGTTCCCTCAAGATTACAGGTACATCTTGCTGATGAGTGCCAAGTAGCACGAAACCCTGGTCCAGGGTTTCCTGTCGACCACCTCCAACCACCATCTAACCTTGTTGTTTCGTTGATAATGACCTTTGCTGCGCAATACATTTTGTTGATGACTGATTTAAGCTTTTGTTTCCATAAAAGGCTATTTGGATCACCTCTAAGTAGTAAGGTGGTGTAGACAGGCTTTTTTATTCTACCGAGGCTACAGTAAGTCTCACTGTACCATGAACTTTCAATTTATTTATGAATTCCAGAGGATAGCCATTTTCCAAAAATGTCTTAATTAACAACCTAACATCATCATCAATAGCGTCATTTGTACAAATACGAATCAAGTCTGTTAAATAGACACTTTATCAAACCCCGTTTATATTGCACGAGGCAATAACTATAATAACTATGGTATTGACCTGTCCACGTTGGTTTACAAATAAATGGATCGTTTGATTGATGTTTTTTTTATTGATATCGAAAATGATTATGTTTTGGGATATATATATATGTGTGTGTGTGGTTCAGATCATGAATGAGTTGAAGCTGGAATGACTGGACGACCGTTTCGTCCTACGATGGGACTCCTCAATAGTGTGCATCCACGATCCCATCTTGTAGGATTCGAACCCAGGACCTATCAGTCTCACACATGAGAGCTTAACCACTAAGCGACTGCTTTTAAAGGAGAGACGAGTGTGGTGTGTGCTACTTATTTGACATAAGTACTATATGATGTTATTCGTGAACAGAATGTCTGGCAGCAGAGAGACAAGAGTATCGGACAGTAAAGAATGGAATCAGAATGCAATTTGTATGCAAATACAAGAACAACGAAGTGAGGGCCATTTTCAGCCAAATGATGGTCATTTTGCAAATTGATCTTTTACTATATGGTTGTTCGATTTTATTAACAAATTCTGTTATTTGTTGTCAAATACATTCGATTGTTCCCCACAGATGTTCTTGTTCAGTACATTGTCTCAATATTACCTTAATTCACAAGCATTATAAATAAAGATGGATAATAGGCTAGTAATGGAATCCAAGATATACACTTAAACATCAATTGAAAGATTCAAGTAAACAATATCAAATATTATCAGAAAGGGTTTTGTGGAGATTGTAGTAATTTCAATGGTTAAGATCATGAGTCAGTTGAAGCTCGCAGGAGCGAGGTCATGGATGCGCACTGCTGAGGAGTCCCATAATAGGACGAAACGGCCGTCAAGTGCTTCCAGGTTTTTCAAATATGCTCCAAATGATCTGATAATTTTACAGAAACTACACTTACTGGTATTGACATTTGCATTTTCATTAAAGAATTTTGACGAAATAATTTATAATCTGTTAAACTATCATCATTAGGAGATGAACTGTCTGATTCACTTGCTTGTACAGCTTCATTTCTTCTTGTCTTTCAAAGAAAAAAAAGAAGTTTAAAATATAAATGTTATTGTGTAAAATTCACTTATTTGAATAAATTTTTTTTAAATGTTTCGTCCTATTTGGGACTCGTCAGCCGGAAGTAATTGCACCTCAGAGTTGATGTTTGCCCTCGGGGACTCGAACCCAGTATCATTCACTTCAAACTTCTGAGTCCTGATGACTAAGTGGCTATCAGGATTGAGTGTCCTGGCTTCCATTGTTAGCCATTATCCATCTCTATTTATAAAACTTGTAATTTAAGGCAATATCAAGGCAATGCACACAGTATGCACATATGCCAATAACAGACTGATCACTGGGTGATGATCATTCTAATGTGAAGGTTAAGTGTTCCATGTGAGGCATGAACATCCTGAGTACAGTTTCCATTGGGTTTGTGGATGTTTAACGATGTAGAGAGTCATACTTCGACCAAACAAATATATGGTAATTTCTAGTTTGAAATGATAGTTTAACAAAAGTCAGCTGATCATCCAAACTGTAAAACAATGTTACCTGTAAAACATGAAGCCATAACAGCATAGCATCTTCTGTTTCTGCTTGTAGAATATGTTCTTTTCCATCTGACCTATGATCAGAGAAAAAAAAACACATAAATCCAAGTAAATCATTGTAAATAATCATATTGATTACTTAAACTATTACAGTCTAATGGTTAAGCGTTCACTCGCATGACTGATAGGTCATAGGTTCAAATCTCGCAAGGTGAGATCGTGGATAAACACCGCTGAGGAGTCCCACAATAGAACAACAAGGCTGTCCAGTGCTTCCAGGTTTTCCATGGTGGTCTAGCTTCAATGGACTCATGATCTTAACCATTGAAATTACTATAACATCCACAAAATCCCTTCTGATACTTTAGTTTTGTTGGGTATAAATAAAATCTGCCATTCTAATCAAATCAGTTACAATATACAAATACAAAATGAAGATTTCAATGTCTACATGGATTTCTGTATATTTTTTATGAGTAAATGTGACCTGATAAAAAATAACTATTCCAAATGTTCCATATGCTTAAAACTATATCGAGACAAAATATTATACACTAAGAAGGACTTGACACTTCAGTGATCAATCAATTGTGACTATATTTCAGTCTTACAGGAGGTCGATTGTGGCACGGATAACCCAGTAGTAATGTCTCTGACTGTGAAGCTGGGTGACATGGGATCGAATCCGTCAGCCAGCACCAGTTCTCTTAAGATTACAGGTGTACACCTTGCTGATGAGTGCCAAGTAGCACGAAATCCGTGTCCAGAGTTTCCTGTTGATTACCTCCAACAACCATCTAACTGTTATTACTTGCATATGAGGTGTTTGTGAAAAATATTGATTTGCTCATATTATCTGATCAAAAATAAAGTTGATTTTGATCAATGAAATATCAGCCTTCATGTTTAGTTGTCAGTTCCTTCAAGTATTATTGGAATATTCCATCATCGGCTAGTCAGTTGGTCACAATAAATTTGAAATCTGACACATCCTATTTGTTTAATATAGGGTTGTGGAGAATAATAAATTTTTGATTTAGATCATGAACCGACTGATATTAGACTACCATTGAAAATCTGGAAATACTGGACGGCCGTTTCGTCCTACTGTGGGACTCTTCGACAGTGTACATCCACAATTTCGCTGGCCGTATAATAATCTACAAAAAAATCTAAATCAAAACTAAAATTGTGTATTAAGCTAGCAACTTATTTGGTGATAGGTTATGAAATTTCAAATAGAAGGTTATAAATTCTATGAGTAAAGCATTGGGCATCGATGACATTGAACCTTTAAACTTTGATTCAATGATCCATACATTAAGATATCATCGTAAGAAGTGACAGGTTTGAGTCTCGTCTCATGTAGAGTTATGGTTAAACTTATTGAGAAGTCCAGTGATTTGAATACTTTTTTTTTTGGTTAGCGTTTGTTTTAGCGAGTTAGTTTTCTATGGGATGGAGTGTCTAACCCCATGTCCAACCCTCCGCTTTTCTCTGGGCTTAGGACCGGCAGTAACCCCAAACAGAGCTCCAAGCGGAGGGAGAAGTTGAGCATTAACGTGAAATAACTACCTATAGTTTTCTTGTTTTAAAATGTTTGGCAGTTAATATAATTTCGTAACATAAAGCCATTTTAAACAACAACAACGACAACAATAATGATTGACATTTTACTTACATAATACTAAATTGATTATGTTCAGCAGGATCAATATGAAATACAGCTCCATGAATATTGATTATTTTCAATGGTTCTTTATCTGGTATAGCTGCATCCATTTGATTACGATAAGCCATTAATTTTAATGTAGACTCTTCAAATACATACCAATGACGTTGAATCCCTTTTAATCTTTTGAATGCTGAACAATTCATTGAAGGTTTATTTGTTTTTAAAAAACAAAGAAGTAAAATACATACATTACAATTCCTACAATTATCTTTGTTTCCTTGTCGAATAGTCAGAATTGAGTTGTCAGAACGGGTAAGACATGTGCACATATTGTCAATCATTTAGTCAGCTACGAATTAGGATTAGCCAAATATATGCATCGGTTCAAGTTACCACACAAAAACATAAACATCAAATTCATAGAACCAGTTACTTCAATGGTAGTAATATATAAAGGAAAGATTGTGTATAAGGATATAGTATATAAGGAGAGTGTATACACCGATGCCATTGTGGCCGACTCTGAGCCATGTTACACACAGTCTACAACCATTCGTTACGATAGTCACACGGACCTTAAGCAACTAATCTACATTTATCAACATGGCTCAAACCATAAGTTAGTGACTTCAAGCACTGATGCCACGTTGTGGTTTGGCCACTCACAACTTTATTCCAACCATCCTCAACACTAGTCATCATTGCGTTTCATGGTAATCGGTGTTGAGGCGGGCATACGTTACACATGGTCCAACTATCTCAGTAGATGACGATTCACCACCGCATCAACTGATTTACCATCATCCCCTAATACTCAGCGTCTAACCTCACTATTGATTGGCTGGTGATCACAGTAGATGCAGGCAATATTTCTGAGATATCTGTGATCAAATTCTAGTAGCTAACTAGTATCTTCTACTCCTAATGACTCTTAACGTATTCGTGGTCCTGCACATGGTACTCGAACCCATGACATTCTGTTTCTCACTCGAACGTTTAATCCCTAGATTACTGTTGAGGAATTACGTGTCAATATGAAATGGCTGTCCAGTGCTTTCAGATTTTCAGTGATAGTCTAGCTTTTGGTTGACTTGTAATTTTAAGTGCAAAAGTGTGAAGGTACTTCTCAGAATGAATTTCATGAATTATTTTCAGCTTAATTTTTGGCATCAAATCTCAAAACAACTATTTAGTCACTGAAGCACATCTGTGTGTAAACAATCATCAATAAGCCGTGGATCGTAATACAGTGTTAGCTGGTGACGGTATATCTATGCTGTTGAAGCAATCGATACCGTCTGTTTGAATCGATTACTCGTCATCATTTATGACAGTTGGTGACCTGACATCTTGGGGAATAATGCTGATTGCATGTAATATCAAGTTATTTGAACTAGTGACCAAACTATGGCCTTATCGTTACTATTGGACTAGGATCAGAAACTAGATGATTATGACATTGGTCAATGATTACTGATCAATTAGTATGAATGAACATTCAGATCGAAACTAAGAAAACTAGGTAAAAAAAAAAATAATCAAAACATATTTGACTTGGCTCAAGAACTAGCCTCTATCTATAGTGTCAGTGGGTGAAACTCATGAAGTACAGATTTGCGTAAGGTAACACTTCATGTGTAATAGTAATGATATTAACCTACTACACAAAGAGAATTCATTGGATCAGGAATCAAACCTACCACAGTGTTATAAAGTTGAATGTCTTAATCTGTTCAAACCATAAAACATCTAATTCTGTTTTGATAATTTAGAAGTATATCTGTTTGAGATTGAGATCATGAACTGATTGATGTTAGACTACCATTGAAGACCTGGAAACACTGGACGGCCGTTTCGTCCTATTATGAGACTCCTCAGCAATACACCTTCACGATCTTGCTCATGGGATTCGAACACAGATCTTTCAGTATTACTTGCGAACGCTGAACTTCTCGGACCAATCCACGAAATCGCGTGAATATCTTCCATTATACTGAGGTAGATAATCTCCACAACCCTATACTGATAATTACTATGTACTTACTAGTGACTAGTTTCGTGAGGGAATTCTCGGAGTTCTAGTGAGAAGCCGTAACCGTGTCAAATATCTACCTCAGTACTATGGAAGATGGTGGCGTAATTTTGCAGATTGGTTGAAGTTAGACATTAACATTGTAAGATGCTAGCCATTTCAGTGGTCTACAGGTTAAGTAGTCATCTAATGCATCCAGGTTTTCAATAAGTGATCTAACACCAATTGGTTTATGATCTGAATCAATCTTCACAATCCTATACTGATAAAGTCTAATTGTATTTGATGTTTAATACAGACAATGTTATAGACAAACTACATTAAATCTAAATACTCATTTACATTTATCCAATTCAAATGTAATTGATCATTTAGATGAAGTACTTAAACGTGACAATATGATCATATATGCATGAATAGATTTGGAGATGTTACTAGACGATAATTACTAAGGTGATAATGACGTAGTGTTTAATATAGACATTTAAATCTATAAATTAGGTTATCCCATTTTAGAAATATGAGAATTTGTTAAAGCATGTGATTGACAAATGATATGAGTTCAATTCTATTACCAAAACTTCTACTCTATTGTGTGATTGATTCGAATAGCCTTTTTTATATGAATCTGTCTAATATGGATGCGCACTGCTGAGGAGTCCCATACTAGGACGAAACGGCCGTCCAGTGCTTCCAGGTTTTCCATGGTGGTCTAGCTTCAATTGATTCATGATTTCAACTATTGAAATTACCAATTCTCCACAAAACCCATTCTAGTAATATTGTTTTGGTTTATTTGTTTGTCTATTCATTTATAGGAGGTGAAAGCTGATTTACACGTCTTTGTCGTACCTCCTAGATAGTGGGATTTGTCTGATGAACTAACGTGAGTTATAAACTGGGTGGTAGAGATTGAACTAATCAACCAGTTGACTGATAGCTATAAACGATTACAAGTGCTATAAAGAGAAAATAGCACAGCTTTAACTGCAAAAATAGCTATCTCACCCTGATAGTTGTACCATGCTTCAATGTAGCCATTTCTACAGAAGGGCTTACTAGGCTTCATTAATACATTTTCTGGCTGGAAGGCTATTCATTTATACATTAATCATATTTTGTTATTACATTGATCTGTAAGTATATGGAACATGTTGACTAACTATCAGTTTAGACAGTTTGAATTCATATCAATACAATACAATCTTGGATTTATTTCCGTACAATACAATTGTTGAATATTCTACATTCATTCAGCTACAACGTAGGACCAGGCACAAATATGCATCGGTCCAAGTTGCCATACTTCATTAGCACAGTAAAATGAACACCGGATTCATAGAAGTAGTTAATTCACTTGACCATACCTAGCCAAAATGGAGAGCCGATGAGATACACCCTCCGTGTATCTGGCGACCCGATGGCTGGTTCTTGTGGACTGACAAGTGTAGTCATAGCATTAGTTACGAGGGCAGAACAAGGAATATTAGAGTGGATCCCAGGAAACAGTCATCTATATGCTGTTCAGCTAAACGGCTCCGTAAGAAATCAGAAGGATAGGGACACACATCATTGCCTTTTCGTCGTTTCTGCCTATGCTCCGACTGACTGCATCCTAGATGAAGTAAAAGATAACTTTTACAGAAAGCTCTCTGAACTTTTTCAAAAAGCTAAACGTTCAGATATAGTACTCGTAGCAAGTGACTTTCATGCCCAAGTAGGTAGCTTAAACCAAGACCCCCTAAGAAAACCACCTGTTTCAATTTGGACACCCGAACAATATCACAGTCCATACACAAATCAAATGACTTGTGGGACACATATATATTCGATACTTCTTTTTTTTTAACCACTATTTATGTATTCAATATATGTTAATATAAATCTAAATCAATTACAATTACAATCAATTACAATCACAAATACAGTTAGTAGTTAGTAACATAATCTTGTGTAGAATAACAATAAACAATAGCAAACAGTGGTAGGTTATCAGTTAGAATGCTATTTATACATTGCTCTTATTAAATATGTTAGCAATTTCAATAAATAGAAACTTCAAATAGTTAAAGAAAGTATGATTCCTTTCAATTATGAACACTAGATTCGGTTACTGAGCTGTTCTAGTAAAGCCTTCCCCCTCATTCAGGCTAAATCTACACAACAACTTGAACATGAGAGATAAGGTTTGAAATATGAAAGAAACACTTGTTAAGCGTTTGCACGCGAGACTGAAGGTCCTGGGTTGAAATCCCGCGAGCAAGATCGTGGATGCGCACTGCTGAGGAGTCCCATACTAGGACGAAACGGCCATCCAGTGCTTCCAGGTTTCCAACGGTGGCCTAACATCGGTCGATTCATGATCTCAATCGAGAAAAACATTACTCGAAATATTCATTTATGCACAGAAAATCTAGGGTTTTTATAGTATTTTAGATAATCTTGTGTTTCCGGAAACTTCTGGAATGCTAATAAACATAGTAACAGTATAGGTAATCATGTAATCAGAAACTGGATATGTGGCTTTTCACTTTTTAAATGTTTCTGATAAAACGTTTAGTGAATGTTGATTGGATAAGATGCTTCTCAGAATATTCAGACCCTTTGTTGGATATTTTTGAGGAGTTATCTGGATTTCCCCTCCCACCCCCTTCAACAAAGACACAAATTTCAAATCACATTGAGATGGATAATCAGATAAACGGTTATAATCTTAATGATCATTATCATTAACTCTTCAGCTTATTGTTACAACGTGATCTAGTGACCTGCACATTAATAATAATAACTGGAGTTTTAGCGAGAAGCAGTGACCGGTAGCGAACTTTCATAGATTGGTTGAAGTTAGACACTGACACCGTTGTATGTTGGCCGGCTCAGTGGTCTAGAGGTTAAACGTTTGTACGCAAGACCGATAGGTCGTAGATTCGAATCCTGAGAGTGGGATTGTGGATACGCACTGCTGAGGAGTCTCATATTAGGACGAAACAGCCTTCCAGTGCTGCCAGGTTTTTCATGGAGATCTAACTTTAATTCACTCATGAATTCAACTATAAAATTACTAAAAACTTCACAAAATTCCCTTCTGTAAATAGTATTTGTCGAAGGAGAACTGAACTTTTGAGTAAATGTATTTCTGAACTTTTCAAGACTGGAATACAGATTAGTTATGATGTCAATATTACAATAGTATAGATCAATAAACGGCGAGACTATAATTTATGAACGAACCAATCACGTATAAGATAGTACATATCTGATTTTGGCGCGAAATTCACTCATCCGTTTGGTTAAATAGAGTTTTAGCATTATAGTTGATTTCAGATCATGATGAAAACTCTAAATCTAATTCCTAACTATAACCATCAACGGTAAATGAAAATTGGGATTCCTCACACTGGTTTATAACCCTCATTTGGTCCTAGATATACAGTGGACACTCAAGGTCACTTTAGCGTCGCTCAAAGGTCGTCCATAAATGATAGTCTTGCCCAGAGATTGAAAGTAGCCATCGAGATAACCTATTATACTGCTTAATTGGTTGTGATTAAAAAGTCTAGGCCCCATGATTCCAAATAGACTTGGATAATACATAAAGGATTATGTCACATGTTTATGTGAATACCCATACATAGGAAGGAATAATCAATTAATACAATCAAGGGTTGTTAAACATATGCTAAGATAAATTCACTTGGTGTTGTTTTACTTATATCTTCCCATTGTTATTTAGGACTGCAATTGATCAATCTCATGTTAGCATATGTAACTCCGCCTGGAGTCCCTTTCGGGGGGCTACTGCCGGTCCAAAGCCCGGATAAAGGAGGAGGGTTGGGCATGAGGTTAGCGACCCCATCCCGTGGAAAACTAACTCGCTAAAAAAACGCTAACCAGAAAAAATTATTCAAACCATTTAAACTCGGCCCTGGGAGTCAGGAGGTCTTCGTTTAGAAGAATTATGACGCCTCATGATGAAAGCCGAGTTTCTTCGGAAGTCACGAGACCGATGCCCCTTCTGACAACCAGAGCAACCATTTATTGAGGTATATGGAATGCTCGCACAATGTGGGAGATTGGGAGATTTTTCCAAATTGCTGCAGAAATGAGGATGTTAACATATGTGCATTTTGTTCGGATTGCCTCGATATAACCTTAAGTCAGTAGTTAAGTGGAGAACGTTTTAGCGTTTGAAGCGAATAGTACTGAGTTCAAGTCTCTGAGTGAACATCAACTCTGGGATGAAGATACATATAGCTGATAAGTTCCAAATAAGACAAAACGTTTATCAAACTGGATTCCACTATTAACCATTATCCATTATATACTTAGATCATTTCAAAACTAATGAATATCAAATAGTCTAATCAAGATGGAAGATAGAAAAGAGCATAGTAACAAATTAACATAATATTTATTGTTTATTATTGTTGTTAAGTGATTGAGTTTACGTCAATATAATAACATTTTAGTTTAAAACTAATGATGTTATTACATCAAGAGATTGATAGATAGAAATGAAGTGAAAGTAAGAAAACCATCGCTGGTATTACTGATCAATGTTGTTGTTGCTGTTATTTAATAAAAAGTAAAGTGGTGAAGATCATTTCCTAATTAGATAATTAAAGTATATACACTTATGATCATATATGATACTTTAAAAATCAACTTTTGATTTTTTAACTTTAATGATGAGATAAAAGATGTGTATGTCATATTCATCTTACATATGGTGTATCATCTTGATCTTCAGTTTCATTTACTCATGGAATCTCATCATACTTACTTACTTACTTATGTCTATTATACCTCATGGAGGAGAACAGTTTACCCATCAGCACTCTTCATCCAATCCTGTCGTAAGCAATCCTTTCCAGCTCTTTTCAGTTTTAATTCATCCTTTTCATATCTGCTTCCATTTCCCGATGTAATGTGTTCTTTGGCATTCCTTATTTCTGTTTCCCTTCACGATTCCAAGTTAGGGCTTATCTCGTGATACAATTTAGTGATTTCCGTAATGTATGTCCTATCTATTTCTGAATTCCCTAGTTTGTCTTCTCCTACAGTAGGCTGTTGTTAATAATTTCTGTTCCATGGATATTGAGTATCTTACGTAAACAATTATTTATAAATGCTTGTACCTTCTTGATGATGATTTTAGTAGTTCTACAAGTTTCAACTACATAGAGTAGAACTGTTTTAACATTCATATTGAAGATTAAGACTTTAATATTGGTTGACAGACAGCTGTTTTGAGTTTCATATGTTTGTCAATTGAAGGAATGAGGCTATCGCTTTGCAAGTCCTTGGGAATTTATGTCTGCATTCGATTTTCCTAGTTCAGCAATGATACATCCCAGATAAATGAACATTTTCATATCTTCCTAAGTTACACTATCATGAATAAACAACTAATTATCATTTCAATGATTAAGATCATGAGTCAGTTGAAGCTAGACCACCATGGAAAACCTGGAAGCACTGGAGTTCTAGTGAGAAGTAGTGACCAGTGGAGTTCAACCAGGTCTGTTGTGGGATAGTAACTCACTGAAGACAATGATGGATGTGTCGCTCAATTTCGTGGATTAGTTGAAATTAGACATTAACACCGCTGGATGCCGGCCGGCTCAGTGATCTAGTGGTTAAGTGCTCGCGCGCGAAACCACTAGGTCCTGGGTTCGAATCTCGCAGGGGGCGAAGTTGTGGATGCGCACTGCCACTGAGGAGTCCCATAATAGGACGAAATGGCCGTCCAGTGCTTCGAGGTTTTCCATGGTGGTGGTCTAGCTTCAACTGACTCATGATCTAATTCATTGAAATTATTACAATCTCCACAAAACCCCTTCTGATAATAATTATCATTTGATTATAGTTTTATAAAAAACAACTTTAGTTTTAAATAATCAAACATTTAGGTTAGCAACTATACAAAACAGAAATACTCAAATCAATAAAAGTTTCATTAACTTATGAAATATTTTTTTTATTTATTCCTAATTATTATTGATTATATCACTTACCAGATTCAAAATATGCAGCAATATCCGATGCATTATTCACAAGTGGAGCTAATAAATGATATATTTAGAGAAAAATATATTTATATATATATGAACCAATTTTAATGATTATTATATACAATGAAAAGAAATCAATAATTTATTGATTTATTGATTAATTGGTTGATTGATTGATTGATGGATCGATTGATCGATTGATAATTTGATTGATTTTTTTTGTATAAAATTAAATAATGATTGTTGCCATTTTATTCCCATATTATGTCAAAAAATCAATATTATTATTTTATGATTTATGTGTTTGTTACCATGACTATAAAAATCTAATATTCATTTTAAAAAAAAAAGATTGAATTATTCGATATAGTGTTTGTTAAAGTGATATTAATAGTAGAGATCATGATTCAATAAAAGCTAGACTACCACGGGAAACGTCAAAAGCAGTGGGCGGTCGTATTTCCTGGACTTTTAGACAGAAGGTGTGACCAGTGAAGTTCAATCAGGTCTGTTGTGAGATATCAGCTCACTGAAGACAATGGTGATGGTGGTGGATTGATTAAAGTTAGATATTAACATCGTTGCATGCCTGCTCAGTGGTCTACAGGTTAAGCGGTCGCTCGCGAGACTGACAGGTCCTAAATTCGAATCTCGCGAGTGGGGGGGCGAAATCGTGGATGTGCACTGCTGAGGAGTCCCATACTAGGACGAAACAGCCGTCCAGAGCCTCCAGGTTCTCCATGGTGATCTAGCTTCAATTGATTCATGATCTCAACTACTGAAATGGTGGATGTGTCTCTAAATTTCGTGGATTAGTTGAAGTTAGACATTAACACCACTGGATACCGGCTCAATCGTCTAGTGGTTCAGTGGATGTGCGCGAGACTGATAGGTCTTGGATTCAAATCTCACGACGTGGGATCATGAATGCTCACTGCTGAGGAGTCCCACACTGGAACTTCTAGGTTCTCCATAGTGGTCTAGTTTAAATTGGCTCATGATTTTAACTATTGAAATTACTATATAATATCCACAAAAACCCCTTCTGATACTAATTAAGGTGATAAGTTTTTAATGATTAAATTAACGAATCAATCGAATCTAGACCATCATGGAAAACCTGTACGTATTGGACGATCGTTTCATCCTAGTATGAGACTTCTCAACAGTGCGCATCTACGATCCCGCCTCGTGAGATTCGGACACAAGACCTATCAGTCTCGCGTGAGAACGCTTAACCTTTAGACCACTGTGCCGGTATTCAACGGTGTTAATGTGTAAATGAAAAGTTCTATACTAGGATGAAACGACCATCTAGTGCTTTCATGTTTTCCATGGTGGTCTAGCTTCAATTGATTCATGAATTCAATTATTAAATTACTATAATCTCTACAAAACCCCTATATGATTATCATACCCTTTTGATTAAAATTAGAAGAAAGCTATAAGTGATCAAACCAAGAACTTACATCAGTTCATCAAGTGCTTGATTGTTACACTGAATTGTATTGTTAGGTAATGACTACATTACTTATATTCAAGTTATCATCATGATCAATGTTTTGAGAATTAGTATTTATGTTGAAGAGACATTCACCTTTTGTTTCTCATTAGACGTATTTTTCATGAACTGATTATGTCTACTTGATTCGTGTTTTCCATGGTTAATCATTCTAATACCTTTATTGCCCTGGAATTTGTCTTGATATTTTCATTTGGCTGTTTTGATGAAGTATCACAACTTGAACAAATAGACCACGATTGAAAATCTGGAAGCACTGGACGACGATTTCGTCCTATAGTAGTACTCCTCAACAGTGCACATCCACGGAATTCTAACCCAAGGCCTACAATCTCGCGCACAATTACCTAAGCTGTAGACCACTGATCTGGCCGGCATCCAACGGTGTTAATGTCCAACCTGCATTTTGAGGCCGTCGATGCGCACTGCTGAGTAGTCCCATAATAGGACGAAACGGCCGTCCAATGCTTCCAGGTTTTCGATGATGGTCTAATATCAATCGGTTCATGATCTAAATCAAAAATTTATTAATCTCCACAACCCTATATTAAACAAATAGGATGTGTCAGATTTCAATTTCATTGTGACCAACTGACTAGCCGATGATGGAATATTCCAATAATACTTGAAGCAGCTGACAACTAAATGTGAAGGCTTATACTTCATTGATCAAAATCAATTTTATTTTTGATCAGATAATATGAGCAAATCAATATTTTTCACAAACACCTCATATGCAAGTAATAACAGTTAGATAGTGGTTGGAGGTAGTCAACAAGAAACCCTGGACAGGAGTTTCGTGCTACTTGGCACTCGTCAGCAAGGTGTACACATGTACTCTTGAGAGAACTGGTTCTCGCTGACAGATTTGATCCCATGTCACCCAGTTTCACACTCAGAGACATTACTACTGGATTATCCGTGCCACAATCGACCTCATGTAGAACTCAGATGTAATTGATTGATCTCTAATTAATTCGTATTACCTATGTTCAAGCTTTCTAATGTAGTTATTGATTTTATAACTAGTTGTGTTACTAATTATTATTACCATGATTGTTTGCATCGATTATATGCAAATAGTTACTTCTAACTTATAGTACACACTATAATCAATTATATCTGATCTATATTCATTAAGTAAGTATGAGAAATTACAATAACTGACAAGTTAACAAAAAGAAACCTTGAATAAATTGTACACAAAACATGTGAAATATGCCAATTATTTATCTACAATAATGATAATGTGCTAAATAGATATATGGAAAAGGCATATACTAAGGTAGAGAGAGAGTAAAATCTCAACGTTTTATATGGATTACAATCTGTTACAAGCAGAGATGGATAGGGATTAGTAGTGAAATCCTGTTTGATGCATGTTTCGTCCTATTTGTGACTCATCAGCTGAATATACCTGATACCTAGAGTTGATGTTCACTCTAGGACTCGAACTCAGTACAGTTTGTTTCAAACACTATCGCATTATTCAGTTTGTGACTTAAGGGAATATCGAAGCAGTCTGTACAGGATGCATATATGCCAGTGGATCTTAATTGGATAAACATTAGAAACTAGATAACATTGCATAGCTATTTTATCCTAGTATGATGTAAAAACTTGAATTGAGTATTTTGTTTAATGCGAGATAGAAGTTATTGATTTCATGAATTTTGCGTAGTAACAGAAAGAAAAAACTTTTCCTTATTCCAATCGATTCACTCTTGAACTCTATGTTTACCATGAAACGGATCTACTTCTTTTGGTTATGGAATATCACTAACGTTTCAAGGGAATCAGACTTATTTATTAGTGGTAATTATACTGATTACAAGTAATTGAATAGATAATAATCCCTAATGTATTCAATTGATGTTGTTTACTTGTATCTCCCCACTGTTATTTAGGATTGTGGTTGATTAGTTTCTTGTTGGCATGTGTGCATCTTGTGCGGATTGCATCTATATTACCTGAAGTCATAAACTTTATAAACACAGGCATATGGCTATCAGGAGTCAATAGCTAAGTGAATAATGCGATGGCGTTTGAGGTGAATGGTACTAGGTTCGAGTGCCACAGTGAACATCAACTGTGAGATGTATGTACATGTATCTGACGAGTGTAAAATAGCATGAAATGCTCATCCTGTATTCCACTACTAGCCACTATCCATCTTTGCTTATGAAGCTTGTGAATTCAGGCAATATCGAGGCAGTTCACACAGGATGCACGTATACCAACAAGAGACTGATCAATTGCGGATAACAATGGAAACATACAAGTAAACAACATCAAATGAATTCAACTTCACTACACTGCACAAGCAGGTGGCTATCAGGAGTCATTAGCTTAGTAAATAACGCAATGACATTTAAAACGAACGATACTGGGTTCAAGTCCCTGAGTGAACATCAACTCAGTGATACAGGTATATTCATGTGACGAGTGTCAAATAGGACGAAACCTTCATCAAACTGGATTACAAAGCTAGCTCCTATCCATCTTTGCTTATAAAACTTGTAACTTAAGACAATATCAAGACAATCCACACAGGATACACATATGTCATCAACAGACTGATATTAATTGCAGTCTTAAACAACAATAGGGAAGATATAAATAAACAACAATATCAAGTGAACAATCCATTACTTTTAATTGAGATCATGAATCAACTGATGTTAGACCATCGCTAGAAACCTGGAAACACTGGACGGCCATTTTGTCTTAGTATGGGACTCCTCAGCAGTGCGCATCTACGATCCCACTCTCGGGATTCCAACACAGGGCCTTCAGTCTCGCGCGCGAATGCTTAACCTACTGGATCACTGAGCCGACATCCAATGGTGTTAGTGTCTAACTTCAACTGTTATTCTGAACAATAATAATGGTAATGTATTTAGGTTTATTCATTTCACCACATACATAGATAAGGTATAATAAATAAAGTTCAATTATATGCTAAAATGACTTTCTTATTATTTTAATATATATAAAAAAGAAGGTATATAATGCTTACAGTTGAGTGTAGTTTTGTATGTCCCTATTAATGTATCATTGAATGTATGCCTATTACCCTTAACTTTGGCTTATTACTAAAGTATTCAATATTGAATGACCTGAGAAAGGAAAAAAACACACAGAATAGTGAAGAACAGAATATTGAATAGATTGTAAATTGGATTTATTCAAGTCTTATTCTACTATCAGAAAGAGTTTTTTGTTGATCTTTGTAGTAATTTCAATAGTTGAGATCATGAGTTAATTGAAGTTAGGCTACCATCGAAAACCTGAAAGCACTAAACGGCCGTTTTGTCCCAGTGTAGGACACCTCAGCAGTGAGCATTCATGATCCTGCCTCGTGAGACTCGAACCGAAGATCTATCAGTTTAGTGCACGAACTCTTAAGCTATAAACTACTGAGTCGATATCCAGTGATGTTAATGTTTGACTTCAACTAATCCACGAATTTGAGAGATACATCGATTATTGTCGTTAGTGAGTCACTATCTCACAACAGACCCGATTG